ACAATTATTTAAGGTCAATTCCATCTGTTTGAAAGTGAAACCAGGTTTTTTTTTTTCATGCAGGCTCTGTCAATCATAGCCAGGGGAGGTGTGACTAGGGCTGCATAAACAGAAACAAAGTGATTTAACTCCTAAATGACAGTGAATTGAGCAGTGAAATTGCAGGGGAATGATCTATACCAGGGGTTCTCAACCCAGTCCTCAGGACCCCCTACCAGTCCAGGATTTGGGGATTACCTGGGTGTGTCTCAGGTGTTTGGAAAAAGGGAAAAAAACACCTTAGACTCTAAGGTGTGTTTTTTTTTTTCTCTAAACACCTTAGACACACCCAGGTAATCCCTAAACCCTGGACTGGTAGGGGGTCCTGAGGACTGGGTTGAGAACTCCTGATCTATACACTAAATCTGCTTTATTTAGCTAAAGTAATTTAGGTGACTATAGTGCTCCTTTAATATATCAACTAACTCATCCATTCTCCCCACGTGTCTTCCTAAATCCAGTTTATCTGCCCCTTCACCTTACTATATATAAAATGCCTTTTCATTTTGATAACTGCAGCTGTAAGGTACGGACTGAGATGGAGAAGATATTCAACCAGATTTTTTATTTTATTTATTACTGGTATTTATAAAGAGACAACAAATTCCGCAGTGCTGTCCTATTAGTGAATAACGTACAATATACACAGACAGATACAAGAGGTAGAGAGAGCCCGGCCCGTAAGCTGATATCTAGCCATTGGAGCTCTTTATACAAAGTGATTAGCTAGATGGCCCGTGAGCTTACAATCTAAAGGATACAATGGGGATTTGAGACAAGAGGTAGCAGGGGAAATTTGGAAGTGACAGAGAGAAGCAGCTATTGGTAAAATACTAAAGGGAATGAAGAGGTAATTGAGTGAGTATCTCAAACAGCTGATGGAACATGCTATATATTTAGGGGGAACCTGGGTGGACGAGAAACAAATGCACAGCTTCACTGAGTTGGAGTGTGAGATGAGGCCTGAGAGTGGTAGGATTTTCTGCAGAATGTACAATGCAGTGCTTCATGGCGTTGGAGTGTTACTAGATTATTACTTTACTATAATGATACTACCATTGTAACATATAGTTTACTACTGTAATATGTTGTACTTGATGTTACATGTAGTTATTAATAATCTTGCTGTTAGAATTTTGGTTGGCAAATACTTACTTGTTTATAACAAATGGCTAGCCTGCTCCATCTCTCCCCCCACCCTCTTACTTACCACTCCCAGCTGTAGTTCCCTTTAAGTAAATGTTTTTTCTCTCTCTTCCTTAGCCCCAAATCTTCATTCATCCCAGCTACAAGGCCTTTTAATTTTACTCGGCTCTACCCACCCTGGTTCCTTCTTACTATACAGCATGCACCTCCAGCTGTTTGGAACCAGAGCCAATCACCTCCTTATTACCTTCACATGCTATCAGCTGCTGCAGTTATACCATTATAACTCTCTCTGCTATCACATACAAATCCCTCTGCTACCTCTTGTCTCATCTTCCTAGTTTAACCTTTAGATTGTAAGCTCACGGGCAGGGCCCTCTACCTGTTGTATCGGTCTGTTCTTATTGTGTTGTCTTTCCCAATTGTACAGCGCTGCGGAATATGTTGGCGCTTTATAAATGCCAGTAATAAATAAATATATAAGGTAAGGTGAAGGGGCAGTTATAGTTTTACTTCACATAACTATATTTAATTGTCCCCTTGGTCTCTCCTCCATCTAATCTGAATCCACATCTTCCTTCCCTTCTTCTCTTTCGATCTCCATTCTCTCCTAGACTAAATGTTTTATCTGTGGAATTGGCAGTGATTACTTCGATACGACTCCGCATGGATTTGAGACTCACACGTTGGAAGAGCATAACTTGGCCAATTACATGTGAGTCATATGGTTGCAGGGGGCAGTTGAGGCCATTTTGTCCTGTATAGATCAGAGGACACCTGAATATGATGGACAGCAGAGGTCACTGGGTAATGAGGAAGATCAGAGGTTGCTGAGATTAAAATTTTTGTATTATTGATTCCTAGTACCGTACATATTTAATTTATCACTAGTAATTATTCTGACATTTATATATGGTAGAACCAAATGTCATTGCCAATTTATAATCCTGGAAGATTCGTTATGAACCTCGTGCCCTTGGTGACAGAGTGACTCAGGCACAGTGACTTATTTTAGTTGGTGAACGACCAAGGTTTGACCTCAATGTTCCTCCTCTTCCAGGTTCTTCCTCATGTATCTGATTAACAAGGATGAGACAGAACACACGGGGCAGGTAAGTGAATTGCAGGCAGAGTATGAGTGAGGGATACATTTATTTTAATTATGTAATAGATCTTAAATAGCACTCTAATGCACAGCGCTTTATAATTTATACAAAAAGAAGATTGAAATATAATTAGAATATTTGAATCCGCATCAGATATGATCACAATCTGTTAGATAATCATTTCAAATGATTTATCTAAAGAAGTCACCTTTAAAGTCTCTGGTATTTTTATTGTAGATAAATCATTTGAAAAGTTTTTTTCTAACAAAATAGAATCATTTCGGATGCAGATTCAAATGAATTAAGTCTAGACAGCCGATAGCTTACGTTGCATGTCTCTGTGGTCGCTTAGTGGCAGATTTCAGAAGTGACGCAATGAGATGAATGACTTAGATGGTCTTTATAGTCACGCATACGAGGAATGATTTTAATGTTAGCACTGTCTGGCTCCCTGATAACCGTGAGGCGTAGCTGGTAAGAGGCATTATGGGATTTGTAGTCCACAGCAGCAGAGTTTCAGATGAGACACTGATGCCAGTTTTTCCTGTAGGAGTCCTACGTCTGGAAGATGTACCAGGAGCGCTGCTGGGATTTCTTCCCAGTTGGAGACTGTTTCAGGAAGACGTATGAAGATCAGCTGGGATAATGATATCCTATGGAACGCCTGCCGTTAACGCGCCTTGCGGTGCGCATTCTGTGATACAAGATGCGAGAGCAGATCATCGCAACTTAATTATTCAGTGACTTCTGCAGAGTATTTTCTCTTTGCTACTGAAATTTCACACAATGAACTATAAAGTTTTTGCAATCATGAGAACTTTGCAGAGCATTGCACACAATGACGATTCCTGCAGAACCTTGTAGATTTACAGAGCAACTCAACGTGCAGCGCGTTCTACCTTTACAGCGGAGACAGAGCACCTTAAACTAGCGATTACAATCTGTGTCGTCATTAGCCTCAGCTCAAGAAACTGGGTCAGGTTGTTTCACTGCCAGGGGTTCAGGGACGTGTGCTTTTAACTCTATCACTGCCGAAAACGTAATAATGTCCACGTCTTGCTCAAACTTGTAGAACGTTACACGTCTCCCCGACTCCTTATTGATCTATTGAAATTTACACTCGCTGTACAAGAGGCCTTAATACTGTGCAGCAATCAAAGGGTTAACACAAGTCACCCTTGTCACTTTAAAGCAATAAATATGAAAGACTTTCAAAGAATGATAAAAGAATAAACACTTAGATCCCACCGCTGCCCAGATTTATAATTTATAGAGGAAATAAATATTTATTTTAGATGGACGTAAAGAATATCCACTTTGCCTTAGAGAGATCCTAGGATAAGACCGTTTCATTGTCTTACATTAATTGCACAAGTGATTGAATTTTATGTTTCTAAAATGAAAGTAAAATGTCTAAAAATCTTGCTGAAATAACCCAAATGGCTATTTGTATTGTCTTGTCTTAACATTCGATGATGTCATTAGTGAGTTCTGATCGGGATGTTGATCCAGTGATCTATTGAGTTACAAATACGAACAGGCAAAATCAGAGACTCCTTCCTGATTGGCTGTTTTTATCATTTAAATACTACAGTGGGTTCCGCTGAGTTCTCAGGTTTGTTTTAGAATTAATGTGTGCGCATTCAGGAAGCAATTCTTACTCAGATTCATTATAAAACACACATACATTAAATTGGAAAATTTAGGGAATTAACAAGGGACATTTTTGAAAGAAAAAAAGGCAGAGGTGGATAATTTTCCCAATTCCACTATTTTTGGCCAAAACTCGTAATTCCCGTATGCGTTATGCAATTATTGAAAAATCCTTAGTTAATTATTTTCACATTTTAATGTTTTGGTTGGATGGGCTTGCCAAGCCGGGCACCTACATTTTAATTTATGATCTGAAAGAGGAAACAGAATAAAAAACAAGACTTGGGACCTTTTAAGATTTTAACCTGTGAGTGGGGTGTAACTGGCTGGGCCTCAGATTTTGAGGTTGTCCATAGAGACAAGGAGCGATGATCCACCCAAATCGGTGGAATTTTATTTACCAGCCTACTTATTGTTGTGGCCTGAATTGTTAAAGTTGTTAATTAACTGTGCACAATGTATTATACTTTCCTAGCTGCCATATTTCCATTTGAATCTGTAACTATAAAATTTACTACCCTTTAACATAACTCTACAAGATCTGAGAATCGGTTACTGCAGCTTTAAACACCTCTGTTCCTGCTGTGTAATTGTAGGACATCAGAGAATTGTATATCGGAATCTTCGGTTCGTCTAGCAAGTTTAATTCTATTCTTTTCATGACTGAAGCTACTTGAGCGTTTCGGAACTAACCCTGCTGCGCAAATGTTTGTGAGTTGCATACAGAATTCCAACAGAAAATAACTGGACAACCAAGATTGCTTAGCAGTTTCGTGATAGTCACGCAAGACGCCCAATTACACTAAAAACCAGAAAAATCGCAGTTTATCCCCTCTCTTTGATGCAAAAGAAAAGGTGGGGGTGGTGATGTCCAATGACTAAAATATAAAAATATCTGGCATTTGTATTAGCTAGTTGATTCGTTCATGGGACCCTATGTATTAAGGAAAGTTTGTCTGTGCAGAATTCACAAGGACATATTTACAAGAAACAAACCACTCCCAATCAATACGTAGGATGCCTGAATTACAAATGATTCGACTTTATAGATTAACTACCAATTAATGCGGATTATTTAATTCCATGGTATCAGGTAGATACATTTTTTTGTCCATGGATCTGTTGTAAAAATGACCAGGCGCTTGGGGTAATAGTGCATGAAATGTTTTACTGTATACAGAGTGTCTCCTACGGCCCAGAGACAGGAACGTGCAGAACACCTCCCTCCAAACTGACCCAAAACTCACAGAGATCAGCTATAAATCCCATTGGAGGTTTACATGTCACAGGGTTAAAACTACTACCCATGGTCCCAGACACAAGCTGGACCACACATCAGCAGTCCTGAATGTACAGGTTGGTTGTACTGTGATGGACGGCCTTCGATGCTTCAAGAATAATCACACTGCTGGGGGAAAAAGAGAAAGAGAGAGAATCACACTGTCCAGTATGGAGAGAGAAAGAGAGAATCAATCACATGGTCCAGTATGGAGCGAGAGAGAGACAGAGAAGTACTGTCCAATTTGAGGAGACAGACAGATGAGAGCGCACTGTTTGATGAGAAGAGACAGACAGGTGAGAGCGGACTGTCCAAAGTTAGGAGACATACAGGCGTGAGAGCGCACTGTCCATAATGAGGAGATAGACAGGTGAGAGCATACTGTCCATAGTGAGGAGACAGACAGGTGACTGGGCACTGGCCGATGTTTACCTGTCTGAAGATAAGAGGCGGAAAGATCGATCGCAGCATTCAGTTACTACCTGATCAAGGGAGAAGAGACGCTTTATTGATTTCGGTGTATTGGAACATTTCAAACTGTATATTAGAATTCTATAACACATTAAGAAAAACACCAATATACTTTCCTAACTAATAATTTCTTTGAAATCCTACAAACTGTAGTTAACTGGAAATCGAATTCATAATGTGGACAAAAAAGTAGCTAAATGGACACAATCTACACCTTGACTACAGTCACAGGTTGGCTGGTTAGCGTGACTTCAGTTTCACGCTCCTGCAATTTGGTGCCTTATTGAATAGGGACATGTACATGCAATATACATATCAATCTCACCTCTGCAGACCACATATCCAACTCCTGGTAGCCTTTGTTGCGGAAGACAATTATTCTGTCTCCATAAATAGCTGGAAAACAAATATGACTATGATGATTTTCTGAAAATAAACCATTTAGACAAAGCACAAATGATAAGACTGGCCTAATCCCTCTTTGCAATATCATCGGAACATGCAGCTGTGTAGGCTCACTGGAGAACATCAGGATAGAGATCTATAAATAATATACAGTGGGCACAACAGGAGACCATCGAACTTAGACCTGTAAGAAATATATGGTACAGCAGGAGAACATCGGAATAGAGAGCTGTAAGGAACACATGGTGGGTACAGCAGGATAGAGAGCTGTAAGGGACACGTGGTGGGTACAGCAGTATAGAGAGCTGTAAGGGACACGTGGTGGGTACAGCAGGATAGAGAGCTGTAAGGGACACGTGGTGGGTACAGCAGGTGAACATTGGGATAGAGAGCTGTAAGGAACACATGGTGGGCACAGCAGGATAGAGAGCTGTAAGGGACACGTGGTGGGTACAGCAGGATAGACAGCTGTAAGGGACACGTGGTGGGTACAGCAGGATAGAGAGCTGTAAGGGACACATGGTGGGTACAGCAGGAGAACATTGGGATAGAGAGCTGTAAGGAACACATGGTGGGCACAGCAGGATAGAGAGCTGTAAGGGACACGTGGTGGGTACAGCAGGATAGACAGCTGTAAGGGACACGTGGTGGGTACAGCAGGATAGAGAGCTGTAAGGGACACATGGTGGGTACAGCAGGAGAACATTGGGATAGAGAGCTGTAAGGAACACATGGTGGGTACAGCAGGATAGAGAGCTGTAAGGGACATGTTGTGGGTACAGCAGGATAGAGAGCTGTAAGGGACACGCGGTGGGTACAGCAGGATAGAGAGCTGTAAGGGACACGTGGGTACAGCAGGAGAACATTGGGATAGAGAGCTGTAAGGAACACATGGTGGGTACAGCAGGATAGAGAGCTGTAAGGGACATGTGGTGGGTACAGCAGGATAGAGAGCTGTAAGGGACACGTGGTGGGTACAGCAGGAGAACATTGGGATAGAGAGCTGTAAGGAACACATGGTAGGCACAGCAGGATAGAGAGCTGTAATGAACACATGGTGGGCACAGCAGAATAGAGCACTGTAAGGAACACATGGTGGGCACAGCAGAATAGCTAGCTGTAAGGAATGCATGGTGGGCACAGCAAGAGAACATCACGATAGAGACCCATAAAGAACACATGGTGGGCACAGCATTAGAACATTGCGATAGAGACCCATAGATTATAAAATTAAATTGTAAAATAGTAGCCATGACACACAATGATGGTTCTGTCAATCATTGCTAGAAAGGATGGTGGCAGACCTCACCTACAGATTCCACTGAGAAGCTGAAAGATACTTCAGGGACACGGCACCCATGCAAGGGATCTCCATGAAGGTCCACAAAACTTAGTGTGTCTGCAAGTAACAGAAATAAAAGTCAGTTTTGGCACAGTCATAGCCAGGAGCAATAACAGTGAAGATCAGTTACTGTGAGCAAGGCTCACAGATTGGGACAGCAGACAAGAAGAGCAGAAAACAGGGTGATTTAGGGACTTAACCAGCAGAAAAGCGAGGTCCAAGGATAACAAGAACATCAAGGAGTGTGATTGATAGAACCAGGGATTGTGACGGACATGGAGTTTGTGAGACAGCATGAAGGGAGATGGGTACTGGAGCAGAAGAGAGGGAGGTTGAAAGATAGGAGTAGAAGAGAAAATGTTTGAGGGATAGGGACCGCATATAGTGGATATGCCTTTTTAATGAAGGAAATTGAAGAAGTAGACATGGAAGTTAAGGGATTATAGCAGCAGAAAGATTTATTTCCAGAAATTCCATACAGTTTGGATGTTTGTTCGATATAAATTAGTCTTACTATCTGTCAGCACCAAGATACTTTCATTGCTTGTCTGTATCAGTTGTACTGGCCCAGCCCATGGACTGTCTGCAAATAATAATTACAATAAAAACACAATACATCTTCAGTAATACTTTTCATATATGCAATATGCCCCCCCTCCACACACACTCTGATATACATGCACACTGATATACATCAACACACAAGATCTCTTACCAGCACTGAAGTCCGTGAACCATGATGTTAATGAATTCAGGTTGATGGTTTGAAACTGAACTCGAGCACCTGGGGCAGAACCTTTCTGAACCCCAATACATACCAGTGGGTACTGCTCCCCTGGGACTACAAACATCTGGAAAAGCTTCAGGGGGCAGGGCAAGGGGAAATCAAAGTGCTAAAAAGAGAAAGTAGACATGAACAATCACCGATGAGTAGGACATTCAATTCTATAGAGCCTGGCAAATGCTAAATGAGTAGAACTGACTGACACAGAATGAGTAGGACACTCCATTCTATAGAGCCCAGCTAACGCTAAATGAGTAGGACATCCCGTTCTATAGTACCCATCTAACGCTAAATGCAGAGGGCATTCCATTCCCATCTAATGCTAAATGAGTAGGACATTCCATTCTATAGAGCCCGGCTAATGTTAAATGAGTAGGACATTCCATTCTGTAGAGCCCGGCTAATGCTAAATGAGTAGGAAATTCCATTCTGTAGAGCCCGGCTAATGCTAAATGAGTAGGACATTCCATTCTACAGAGCCTGACTAACGCTAAATGAGTAGGGCATTCCATTCTAGAGAGTCCAGCTAATGCTAAATGAGTAGGACATTCCATTCTACAGAGCCCATGTAACGCTACATGAGTAGGACATTCCATTCTAGAGAGCCCAGCTAATGCTAAATGGGTAAGACGCTCCATTCTGTAGAGTGTGACTACATTGATATAATGTCATACTCATTCGGTGTTAGAGAAGTTAGACTTATTTGGGGGTTCAATCTGTTACCTTGAGCAACATGAACTTTTGTAGAGGTTGGTACCATTCTAGGAGGAGGATACTGCTCTCCAGGGCAACACACAAGAACCAGGTGTCACATGCAGCATTGTGAACTGATAGAGAGCAGAGGAACCGGATTCAATGTATGACCGACAGAGAGAGACAGAGCGAGTAATGTGTTAGACCATGTATGAATGAGAGAGAGAGATTTTCGTTTCATTTGTTTAACTTGAAAGCTGAACAGTGAACATTTCTAAATTCTTTACAAAATGAAACAAACCAATTTGGAACAAATGGAAACAAATGATTTCAGATCCATTTGTTTTTATAAGGACAGCAAACTAGGGACTTATCTGCGAATGGATTTTTCTTATGTTTGCTGTTCTGATTGCTTAGTAGATAAGCCCCTAGTTTGTTCTCCTTATAGAAACAAATGGATCCAAAAGAATTTGTTTTGATTAGTTCCCGAATTCATTCAGTGGGATTGCCATATTTAAGGGAACCAAATTAGGGAGCTGTTAGTAAATAACTCCTTCATTTGGTACCCTTAGGTGTGAATGGTATTTTAAGGAAAATTATGGAGCGATCAACCAACCTGAAAGATCAAAATTAAGACAAAACAAGGCACTTTGATGAATTTCGATCTCTTGACTGTGCTTACTACGTAGCTCCCTAATTTGGTACTCTTATGTGGGATTACCAAATTAGGGAGCTATCTGCTAAACAGCATTTGCTAAAACTTTGATACCTTTTGGAATAATGAGAATAATAGCTTCCAAATTTTGTTTTGCTTCTGAAAATTAACAAAGAGAAACAAAATATTTTCTTTATATGGAAAGCACTCACCTACACAACACTTCTTGCTGCCTTTAGTGTCTGGCACTTTGCTGGATGTGGATTTCCTCCTGTAATAAGGGGTAAAAAAAAAAAAAAAAACTCAACCGTCAATTTCATTCTCTCTCTAAGTTACCCCTTTATGTGCCGTTCCTGTGCCCATGTACCCCTAATCTCCCATTCCTGTGCCCAGCTACCCCTAATCTCCCATGTTCTTTAATTCTGATCCATTCTCTACTTCCAGCTTCTATCTACTACTGGGTAAACATCTACCAGTAGTTCCCAGGGTCAAAGTACCCAGATAGGAGTAACCAGGATCAGAGTACCCAGATAGAAGTAAACAGGGTCAGAGTACCCAGGCAGAAGTAACCAGGGTCAGAGTACCCAGATAGGATCAGAGTACCCAGAGTCAGAATACCCAGGTATGAGTAACCAGGATCAGAGTACCCAGATAGGAGTAACCAGGGTTAGAGTACCCAGGCAGGTGTAACCAAGGTTGGTGTACCCAGCTTGGAGGAACCAGGGTCAGACTACCCAGATATGAGTAACCAGGATCAGAGTAACCAGATAGGAGTAACCAGGGTCAGAGTACCCAGATAGGAGTAACCAGGGTCAGAGTACCCAGATAGGAGTAACCAGGGTCAGAGTACCCAGATATGAGTTACCAGGCCCGGAGTACCCAGATATGAGTTACCAGGCCCGGAGTACCTAGATCGGAGTAACCAAGGTCAGAGTACTCAGGCAGGTGTACCCAGCTAGGAGGAACCAGGGTTGGATTTCCAAGGGTCAGTGTACACAGGGTTGAAATACCCAGGGTTGGAGTGCCCAAGTAGAAGTACCTGGGAAGAAGTCTGTGTGTGGAAATGTGAACCAGTCGTGACTCTCTGCGTGACTGCTCGTGGAGGGCTGTCAGATTGTGAGAATACAGGTGGGACGCTTTACCTGGCAGTGACATGAGATAGTGAGTGACGTGCTCGTAACACAGGGACTAAAATTAATATAAATATATATATCTTTTCTTACCAGAAATGGACATTAAAACATTGTTGATAGAATGGACCCATATCGTCCGGCCGGGGAACAGCTAGATTAGACAGCAGGACAAGGAAAACCTTTGTTTGTCAATGACCAGAATAAATAAATACATAATAAATATGATGGAGGCCATTATCATACTGGAACCTCACTAACAGACTTTAGTAGATCTTACCAGTTCGAGAGAAGCCTCTGATTCAGCTCTGTTCAGGGTGAAGATTCCTTCTTCACATCCCAGGATAATGTGTGAATCTGGAATAGATAGAACAGTGATCAATGACTCTGTCCCGGGGCACAGCACCGGTGAGACTATCCCGGAACTGCACATACCTTTTGTTGTAGGATGATCCCAGCACGTGGCTGAATGGATTTTCAAAGGGCATCCATTAAAAATCTTTTTAAATTTGGTTTCTTTCTGAAAAATATACAAAATATCACAGGGGAACAGAGGACCAGACTTACAGGTAATCATGCTTACAATACCTGTGATATATTTTAACCATTGGCTTACACAGTGCCCAGTGTGTATTCCATGGGGACTCACACAGTACTCAGGGATATATACTATGGGGGACTCACACAGTACTCAGGGATATATACTATGGGGGACTCACACAGTACTCAGGGATATATACTATGGGGGACTCACACAGTATTCAGGGATATATACTATGGGGGACTCACACAGTATTCAGGGATACATATATACTATAGGGGACTCACACAGTATTCAGGGATATATATTTACTATGGGGGACTCACACAGTACTCAGGGATATATACTATGGGGGACTCACACAGTATTCAGGGATACATATATACTATAGGGGACTCACACAGTATTCAGGGATATATATTTACTATGGGGGACTCACACAGTACTCAGGAATATATATACTATGGGGGACTCACACAGTATTCAGGGATATATATACTATGGGGGACTCACACAGTATTCAGGGATATATACTATGGGGGACTCACACAGTACTCAGAGATACATATATACTATGGGGGACTCACACAGTACTCAGAGATACATATATACTATGGGGGACTCACACAGTACTCAGAGATACATATATACTATGGGGGACTCACACAGTACTCAGGGAAATATATACTATGGGGGACTCACACAGTACTCAGGGATACATATATACTATGGGGGACTCACACAGTACTCAGGGATATATATACTATGGGGGACTCACACAGTACTCGGGGATACATATTTACTATGGGGGACTCACACAGTACTTAGAGATACATATATACTACGGGGGACTCACACAGTACTCAGGGATATATATACTATGGGGGACTCACACAGTACTTAGAGATACATATATACTATGGGGGACTCACACAGTACTCAGGGATATATATACTATGGGGGACACACAGTACTCAGGGATATATATACTATGGGGGACTCACACAGTACTCAGGGATATATATACTATGGGGGACTCACACAGTACTCGGGGATATATATACTATGGGGGACTCACACAGTACTCGGGGATACATATTTACTATGGGGGACTCACACAGTACTTAGAGATACATATATACTATGGGGGACTCACACAGTACTCAGGGATATATATACTATGGGGGACTCACACAGTACTTAGAGATACATATTTACTATGGGGGACTCACACAGTACACAGAGATACAAATATACTATGGGGACTCGCACAGTACTCAGGGATACATATATACTATGAGGGACTTGCACAGTATTCAGGGATACATATATACTATGAGGGACTTGCACAGTACTCAGGGATACATATATACTATGGGGGACTTGCACAGTACTCAGGGATACATATATACTATGGGGGACTAACATAGTAGTGTTAGACTTGTGTACGAAACAAAAAAAATTGGTTCATCTGATCTGATTTGTCTAGAAAAATATGTTGGTTTTGATGAATTTTGTGAATGCTATCATTTCAGGAAAAACTATTTTGGCCAACCAAAACAGAGTGAAAAAGTGTCTGCAATGCAAAACCGGCTAACTATTACCTAGCCTAATGGACAGGCACTATCATGTATTTTTGCAATGCCAATTGTGAGTATTGCAACTTGCAAAACCCAAGCAGTGGCATAGAAGCACACTACAAATCATATAATCTGAAAAAAAAAAAACTGTGAAATAATTCTAAATCAGTGCATCAAAGTTGGTGTAAGCGGCACTGGCAGTGGCTAGGCAGAGCAGTAACTTAACCATGTCACCAGCCTCACACTAAGCTCAATGACACAGACACAGTGATAAGTAAAAACACACAATCACTGCTGGTCTCTCATCAGTAACTGAAGTCGATTTGTCTGCAAATTCCTGCTTGTAAATATATATATTTTTTTTACATTATTGTTCCTCTCTTTGTCCCCACTATTGCTCACTTCGCATTTGATCTGTGAATAAAATCAACATTTAGTTACTGTGCCCTAACCATCAACCATCTCATTTTTCCCATCTCTTAATTGGATAGGAGACAAAGACCACATAATTGGGCAGACCTCTTGACCATCACGACAAACTATTGCCTCAATTTAATATTGCTGGATATGTTTTCTAAATTATTTCATCTTTTTTGGATACACTTTTTTAATTTATGAAAATGTTTTCATTTTGCAATATTTTCATAATTATTGTTCTGTATATGATATATATTTTTTAATATTTTAATATGTTGAAAAATGATTTTAAAAGTTTATCCAAAATTATGAAATCATTTGGAAAGCGTATGCAAAATTAATAAGCTTTTTAAATGATTTATTATTGTTAAAGTAATTTCTAAATCATTTCCAAAAAAAAAAAATACAAACATTCCCATAGATTTTAATGGTGATTTCTGTAGATACATCATTTGTATTGAAAGTTTATTAAATCAAGGGACAAGACACTTATCTCCCCCATCCTCCCAAATAATCTTTTTCTGCACTTCCTTCCCTTTTTCTGGTGCGACGGACATTAGAATCATGAAGCGATCAAAAAGTCTCCCTTGATTGCCCACATCATTTGTTTCGTGCTACACCCATATGGCATTATGGAGTTCCAGAATTACGATGAATTGGTGATCGCCCAAAATCTGGACGGATTGCGATTAGTTTGATAAAAAAAATTACTTTTGGTAGGGAAACTTATTTGAGAACATTTTCAGATTGAAATATGTTGGTACGAGAGCCTTCACAAAATCCTTTGTCAGCAGAAGGGCGATATCTAAAGATATAGCATCCACGTGATGGGATTTACCTGATTTTTTCTGTTTTTCGGGGGTAAAGTTGGTGGAGGTCTAGATGGAAGATCTTGTATTACAAGAGATGGCTCTGAAATGAAGAGAACGGTTTAGTGGATGCCAGAAAATATTAACAGAATGTCCCTATATTGTTAGCTTTGCATCCTTCTTTGGCCCATTCTATCTCCTTCTATCAGATCTCCCTCCCCTACCTTAAGGACACATTCTATCACTCCTCTATTGTATAACATTATAGATCCTCGCATACCTCACCCCCTCTTGCTAAGGACATCATTTATTTTTCTGTTGTATAATAGTAAAGATATCTCTCTAAAAATAGTTTGAGGTACAATACAAAATAAGAGCAACCTTAACGTGAATTGTATCATTCAGTCGTCAGTACTCACCAATTTGATACTTAGTGAATAGTTTCTAAAAAAACAAGGTGCAAGAGAATACTGAGAAAGGACAATAGCTCAAATAACCTGCCATTCGGTGGGTCCCAGCTTAGATCTCAAGCTGGTTTTAGCTCATCTTGTGCCGTTACAAAAAGAACCGGTCCATTTGCAGATCAGACTGATCCCACCCAAAAGAGCGGAACAGATCCAAAATGCTGATTCTCCTCTAGGCACCGTGACCAAGGGGTCAGCTGTACCTCACTGACGAGGCCTTACAAGGCTGAAACGATCATCTGGGATTGCTGCATCTCTCGTGCAGAGAGAGACAACCTGAATTTCAGATCTGGATTACCCTTTTGGGTGGGATCAGTCTGATATGCAAATGACCCTGGCTCTTTTTGTATTGGCACAAGATGAGCTTAAACCAGCTCGAGATCTGAGCAGGAACCCACCAAAGTGCAGCCTTGGTGGGTTCCACCTTGTGAAGAGCTTCTAGGTTTATAATATGCAAAATCCCATTAATAAGATGAATAAGGCGGGAGCGAAGCTTGCGTCAGCTCCTGACCACTTCCATGGCATTTCCATGAACTGAAACTGTTTTTTTTTGTTTGTTTTTAAACAGATAGATTTGTGATCCCGTGCCCTAGTCTAAGCCTTCAAAAACCAGGGGGGAAACTTGGCAGATGGCAAATACAGCAAGTTACGGTTATCCACGACTAAAAGAGTCAGCGAATCCAGTGTTCACATCCGGAGTCTTGATCTACTATTGTTTAATTAAATAATTTAAAATGATCTTTGGGTAAACTTTTAAAACTATTTAGTTTTTCAAAACGTAAAAATTTTCAAAAACTATATGGATATATATAAAAAAAAACACGTCAATTTAATAAGCTTCTCAAATGATCATAATCTGCTAAAAAGACAAGAACTTTTCAAATGATTTATCTACAGGAGTCACTGTTAACGTCTATGGGGGTTTTCGATAATTAATTTAAAAAAGTATTTCTAATAGTATTGAATCTTTTATAAAGTTTATTAAATTGCGACATATGTCTGCCATAATGCTGTTTTTCCTTAGAATTTAGGTGTAATCTTGCCTTGATGGTTATTCATGGTTGCTATTCTAATGAGGAATGATTACTGCTGCTTGTTATGGAGCTCGACTCTAGCCTGATCTGTTAAACTAATCCTGGTTCACATGAACCCTATCCCTCCCCACGGCCTGCATCCTATCCTCACCAGAGCTTGCAGCAGGTAGCGGGTTCCATACACACTGCGGCCATGCCTGCTCTGCGTTCCTGGGGACGCTGGGACCACTAGAGCACCGCACCAGCGTGGGAGGAGTATGTAATCTGTTCGGCTTCATGCTGGCTTCAGCGGACGAGGTGCGGAATCTGGGCTGCATGTGGGGCAGAGACAGGAGGAGGGAATGAATATAAATTACAGTGTAGGGGACGGGTAAACAACAAAGTGGGGTATCTGCCTCACCTTGGGTGGGAGAGGAGGGGGGACTTCCTCGGATGGCAATATGTCAATACTGGGATCAACAGCACTCGGTCTGTGGGAAGAAAGATCAAATACAGTTTTAGAAAATGCTCCATACTAGACTATAGCCTAAAATATGGTCTTTCGCCCAAACTCCGATAAGGATGTAATACAGGTTTAATATTTGGACCCTGCAAACAGTGCACTTTCTGCTATATTTATTTACCCTCTGGAGGCCATTTCATGAATGGCACTGGCCTGTTCTTTGCTGCTATGTGCCAACACTCTCCAACTTGGTTTCTACATCACCATATAAATCAGGAAGGTGGCACTAGTGAGCAACATTGTTAAAACCAGTACTTAACCTTCTCATTTGCCATCAAAGTGCTGTAAATGAAAATAAGTGAGGAGTGGAGTCAAGTTGCTGAGGCGGATGGTCTCACTAACTGAGAAGGAAGAGGCTCTTATTTCCCTGCAAACTTACATATCAACATCATCGTAATCATCATCGTCATCATCATCTGAGTCTTCTCCCCTGCAATTTTAATAAATTTATAATTTTACATATACACAACAAACAAGCAATACAGAGTCCATCGTCTCGGCTCGTTCAACACCCAGGGCAGTTCTTCATTACATTTCCTGTGCATTTAACCCTTTGTTTGAGGTAAAAATCTCTAAATGGAAACTAGAGGTTCGACCTTATCTGATGGTTCCCATAATCCTGCTCCCCAATCTAAATGGGGTGTCATGACTAACATTTTTACCTTCCTTATAAGCTAAACACGTATTAATGGACAGATGGGATTATCACACATAGCATGATACATTGTTCATGGTTCAGTGAAAAAGTCCTTTGTGACTTCTCTCCCAGCCTCAAAGCTCACCTGATGCAGGGCGTTCGGCCAGACACAGCTTGACATACATCACTTTCTCCTTCAAACGATTTATTCTGGAGAAAAGACATATATAACGGTATGAGAAATGTGAGAAGCGTCTTACATAAACGTGTTTCATACACATATACACACATATACACACACACACATACATATACATACATATACATATATATCTGTGACAAACACTGACTTGTACTCAATACAGATTACCAAGTGTAATAAAAAATCCAAATATAGATAGTAAAAAAAATATGATAACAGAATCATGACAAATTTATTGAAATGGACTGCATGGATTTGCACGTAAAGCTGAATCTACTGATAACAGTGTGTGTAGTAGTTATTCATAGTCAGACATTTTATGAATTAATGAGTGATTCCAATGCACAGCTACTGGTTTACCCCTGAGATCACTCTATAATTAACCTTAGAGGACAGTCTAAGCATTAATACCATAAATAACTAATTGTAGTGGTTACAGTGAAATGGGTTGGGGTTTGATGGTAGCAGCGAGATGGGTTGAGGTGTGATGGTAGCAGCAAGATGGGTTAGGGTGTGATGGTATTAATGAGATTGGAGGAAAGTGTGATGGTAGCAGCGAGATGGGAGGGATTGTGTGCTGTGTATGGGAGTGTCGTGCATTTAAATCACTGCTCTTATTGGTCTGTGTCTTTGTGTCGGAGTCCCCAACAAGGTCCATGTGGGTGTACCCATTGCACAGGGATTGTCATAAAAGGTCAAGTATTGGCTCATGTTTGGGGAATTGGAGAACTACATACACTCAGGGAATTGCTATATCACAATACTCTCTGGAGTATAATCACTAGCTCTTTTAAGAGCTGTTCCTGCTACGCTCTCTGGACTAGGAGAGGTCTACCCACTGGAAGCTGGATCCTGGTCTTGGGTCCAGGGACGACGAGATCCCTAACCAAGCTGCGGCGGTTTGTGGGAGTCTACGGTGGTTATGGTTTTCCAGTACAGTGCTTATGGTGCTCACAAGTACTAGGAAGCAGCGATTGACAGAGGTACCCAGTTGGAGTGCCAGGCAGTCCGTCACAGTGAGATTGGAGGAGAGTGTGATGGTAGCCGTGAGATGGGTTGAGGTGTGATAGTTGCAGTGAGATGGGTTGGGGTGTGATGGTAGTATTGAGATAAATTGGGGTGTGATGTTAGCATTGAGATGGATTGGGGTGTGATAGTAGCAGTGAGATTGGAGGAGGGTGTGATGGTAGCAGTGAGATTGGAGGAGGGTGTGATGGTAGCAGTGAGATTGGAGGAGGGTGTGATGGTAGCAGTGAGATGGGTTGGGGTATGATGGTAGCAGTGAGATGTGTTGAGGTATGATGGTAGCAGTGAGATGTGTTGAGGTATGATGGTAGCAGTGAGATGTGTTGAGGTATGATGGTAGCAGTGAGATGTGTTAGGGTGTGAAGATAGCAGTGAGATGGGTTAGGGTGTGATGGTAGCAGTGAGATGGATTGAGGGTGTGATTGTAGCAGTGAGATGGGTTAGGGTGTGATGGTAGCAGTGAGATGTGTTAGGGATGTGATGGTAGCAGTGAGATGGGTTAGGGTGTGAAGGTAGCAGTGAGATGGATTGAGGGTGTGATGGTAGCAGTGAGATGGATTGAGGGTGTGATGGTAGCAGTGAGATGGGTAAGGGTGTGTTGGTAGCAGTGAGATGGGCTGGGGTGTGATGGTAGCAGTGAGATGGGTTGGTGATGTAGTACATGGATATGCATGTTAGAGAAATATTGAAATCATTCTTACCAATGAGAATCCAAATTCTACCCCCTCCTTTACGGCCAAATTCTGGAAATGGATCTGGCGCACTTAGAAAGATAGAGCACAAAGAAATCATTAGACTGCATGCATTCAGAAAGTCTTCATCAAGTCCTTCTCATATCCACCAGTACCTACGCTGTATGTCTGAAGAAGAACGGCTGGCTTTGGAGTGGCGGTTTTTTGAAAGGATGCGAGAGAATGTTGGATGGACCTGTCAGAATAAAAGGATATTAAGAGTTTAGTTAGTATAAGAAACTATACTTTTACAGCCAACGGAGAGAGTTGAGCATCTGCCTGGACCTCCAGCTTATAGATTAACTCTTACAGCTCCCTGTAGATGGGAAGATCAAAAAATACTAATGATAGGAACAGCAACTGTTACTAACATGAGTAAGGGTGGTTTTCACATCTAGTGGGAGCACATCACTGTCAATTCTTCTAAGTCTGTTTTTTTCTGTGATTCAGAGCACCACATCTAGGTTATCATCCTGAGTGCTCTAATTGATGCAGGACCAGAGGGTGTTCTAAAAGTAGTCTGCACCCACCAGTACTAAAGACCACATGCTCCACCCACCAGACCACTGGTGACCATGCCACAGTTGTAGATCCATCTAAAATATTAGCTGAAACCTCCTTCACCTCCTCAAAATCCTCTTCTTCCTCTGGGTAAGGAGTTTCCCTCTGCTTCTCAGGATTTCGTAACTTCTCCAGCAATTCCTGGGTGAGAGAAGCGTTGAGTCCGGGCTGAGCGACAAACTGGTGCTGTGAGGACAAAAATCAGGGGAAAAGTGAGGAGACCTCTGATATTAATCCTCGACATCTATAAGAATGTTGAGAAAACCGAGAATGAGTGTCATTTTATGCAATGGGGTGAAATACTAACTTTCTTTGGATATAAAGTAGAAACACCTTATAGACGTGTGACAGTGCTCCGCATAGGATTCTAAATTAAAGCCTGAGGAATGTAGTTTTTTCATTTAATAGACCTACTATAAGATTTATTGGAGAAGTGAAATACAAAGATGGAACATAAATGCAAAATAAAACAGTCGTTTTCCATATGGATTGAGCAAACATTTAAAACTACAGATTATTGTACTATTACTGCTAAGTATATTATTACAGCTTATTCTAGAATTACAGCTCATTTTATTATAACAGTTTAGCATATTATCACAGCTTATTGTACTATAACGGCTGAGTATATTATTACAGCTTATTCTAGAATTACAGCTCATTTTATTATAACAGTTTAGCATATTATCACAGCTTATTATAACAGCTTAATGTATTATTACAGCTCAGTATATTATAACAGCTTAATGTATTATTAGAGACTATATTTTTATTGCACCTTATTGTATAATTAGTGTTTTCCCTAATTACTGAGGCACTTACAGTCAGCAGTTTAGAGGCGCTGGGTCTCTTCTTGGCGCTTTTTGTTAATGTCACCTTTATAAAGTTGTGGAATCCTCCAGACCTGAAAGAGAAAGCATTGAGTTGGGAATGTGTTTCCTATATGAACGGACACAGCAAAGCAATACAACCAACTGTTTCTATACATTACTGTAACATCTTACATATCAGCCTATTACATCAACGTGTCTGATTACCCACCTCCAGCTAGTGTCTGTCATTTCATTTAATATTACATCAATGTGGGGTCTGATCACCCACCTCCACCCAGTGTCTATCATTTAATTTAATATTACATCAACGTGGGGTCTGATAACCCACCTCCACCCAGTGTCTATCATTTCATTTAATATTACATCAATGTGGGGTCTGATCAACCGCCTCCACCCAGTGTCTATCATTTAATTTAATATTACATCAACGTGGGGTCTGATTACCCACCTCCACCCAGTGTCTATCATTTAATTTAATATTACATCAACGTGGGGTCTGATCACCCACCTCCACCCAGTGTCTGTCATTTAATTTAATATTACATCAACGTGGGGTCTGATTACCCACCTCTAGCTAGTGTCTATCATTTAATTTAATATTACATCAACGTGGGGTCTGATCACCCACCTCCACCCAGTGTCTGTCATTTAATTTAATATTACATCAACGTGGGGTCTGATTACCCACCTCTAGCTAGTGTCTATCATTTAATTTAATATTACATCAACGTGGGGTCTGATCACCCACCTCCACCCAGTGTCTGTCATTTAATTTAACCCCTTGGACACATGATGGAAATATTCTGTCATGATTCCTTTTTTTCAAGTTGTGTCCTTAAGGGGTTAATATTACATCAACTTGGGGTCTGGTAACCGCCTCCACCCAGTGTCTATCATTTCATTTAACATTACATCAACGTGGGGTCTGGGCCGCCTCAGTGTCTATCATTTCATTTAATATACATCAACGTGGGGTCAGATAACCCGCCTCCACCCAGTGTCTATCATTTCATTTAATATTACATCAACGTGGGGTCTGATAACCCGCCTCCACCCAGTGTCTATCATTTCATTTAATATTACATCATCGTGGGGTCTGATAACCCGCCTCCACCCAGTGTCTATCATTTCATTTAATATTACATCAACGTGGGGTCTGATAACCCGCCTCCACCCAGTGTCTATCATTTCATTTAATATTACATCAACGTGGGGTCTGATAACCCGCCTCCACCCAGTGTCTATCATTTCATTTAATATTACATCAACGTGGGGTCTGATAACCCTACCTCCACCCAGTGTCTATCATTTCATTTAATATTACATCAACGTGGGGTCTGATAACCTACCTCCACCCAGTGTCTATCATTTCATTTAATATTACATCAACGTGGGGTCTGATAACCCACCTCCACCCAGTGTCTATCATTTCATCAACGTGGGGTCTGGTAACCCACCTCCACCCAGTGTCTATCATTTCATTTAATATTACATCAACGTGGGGTCGTGGGGTCTGATAACCTACCTCCACCCAGTGTCTATCATTTTAATATTTACATCAACGTAGGGTCTGGTAACCTGCCTCCACCAGTGTCCTATCATTTCATTTTAATATTACATCAGCGTGGGGTCTGATAACCGCCTCCACCCAGTCTAGCATTTCATTTAATATTACATCAACGTTGGGTCTGATAACCCGCCTCCACCCAGTGTCTAGCATTTAATATTACATCAACGTGGGGTCTGATAACCCGCCTTCACCCAGTGTCTAGCATTTAATTTAATATTACATCAACGTGGGGTCTGATAACCCGCCTCCACCCAGTGTCTATCATTTCATTTAATATTACATCAACGTGGGGTCTGATAACCCACCTCCACCCAGTGTCTATCATTTCATTTAATATTACATCAATGTGGGGTCTGATAAACTACCTCCACCCAGTGTCTATCATTTCATTTAATGTTACATCAACGTGGGGTCTGGTAACCTGCCTCCACCCAGTGTCTATCATTTCATTTAATATTACATCAACGTGGGGTCTGATAACCCGCCTCCACCCAGTGTCTATCATTTCATTTAATATTACATCAACGTGGGGTCTGGTAACCCACCTCCACCCAGTGTCTATCATTTCATTTAATATTACATCAACGTGGGGTCTGGTAACCCACCTCCACCCAGTGTCTATCATTTCATTTAATATTACATCAATGTGGGGTCTGATCACCCACCTCCACCCAGTGTCTATCATTTCATTTAATATTACATCAACGTGGGGTCTGATAACCCACCTCCACCCAGTGTCTATCATTTCATTTAATATTACATCAACGTGGGGTCTGATAACCTACCTCCACCCAGTGTCTATCATTTCATTTAATATTACATCATGGGTCTTCTTTCAGTTGATGAATTGAACCTCTTTCTCATTTTAAGGGGTTTGCGACACAAGGCAATATTTTTATTCCTTTTTTCCATCTTTTCAAAATTTCAACCATATTTAGTACATTTAAATATTTGCATTGTTCCCACAGTATTGTATAGTTTGTATGTTCTCATTTAATATTTTTTTTTTTGCACATTTTGTATATACTCGAACATATTGCTTTGTTAAATTTAAGCTTTGAATTGTTTTTGTTCTTGACCTGTTGACGGGTGTTTATTTCCTACTAGACCAGCTGTAATCAGTTCTGCCAATAACACTATGCGGCAGGATGGATTATTTGTCATTAATTAGTGTGTCATAATACAGAAGGTTTATTTGAATACTATAATGTCTTAATCCTCTGATCTCCCCCCAGAATTTAGAAAGGCGGTGGACGTTGCTCTGATTGCCATTAAGAATTTACTGCTTTGGAGTAGTCTATACTCACCATTTTGACTTGTCTTTAAGCTTTGGAGGTTGAAAACCACTCTTGGACATCAAAAATAGAACGCTAGAAAAAAGTAAGATGTCTGTGAGACCCTACATCGTGATAGAAATCTACCGGCGTGTGCGAAATTCCAACACCATATCACCCAACAAATCCCACCATTAAATCAACAAACACCACTCTCCAATACGAAGGATACTGTAATCTTAATTAAAGAAACAACGTAACTTTAAATTGAAGCTCTTGGTTTTTATGTAATGTGCTCATTCCTCGCATTAATTAAGATTAGGGTTTTCTTGATTCTGTTCGATAATTAGTGACCCGACACCTACCGTAAAGGGTGAATATGAAACATGGGTGGTTGCAGCTCTGTAAGCTCAATAGCTGTGATCCCAAGAGACCAGATATCGCATAGCTCTGTGTAACCGCCTTTCAGTTCTACGGCCGCCACTTCCGGAGCCATCCTGCAAGAAAATATTGTAAGCTCTGTAGTCAAGAACACTGCTTTAAAGGAACTCTCCAGTGCCAGAAAAACATATCCGTTTTCCTAGCACTGCAGGACCCTGCAGTGCCCCCCACCCCCACCCCACCCCATGTTGCTGAAGGGGTTAAAACCTCTTTAGTGACCTACCTGAACCTACTGCCGATGTCCCTCGGCGCTTGGTCAGGCTGTGCCCATGCTCCTCCCCCACAGACGTCAGCCGGTGGGGGATACATAATGCGCATGCACGGCAATGGCCGCGTACGCATTAGACCTCCCCATAGGAAAGCATTATTCAGTGCTTTCCTATGGGGATTCCGGCAACGCTGGAGGTCCTCATGCATAGCGTAAGCACGTCCAGCGTCGTTTAAAACAATTTTCGTGTTCTAAGAACACGGACCTCCCTCTAGTGGCTGTCTGATAGATACACTTGCAGGGTTAAGGGTGGTGGGAGTTGGCACCCAGACAGCTCCAATGGGCAGAAGTGGTCTGGGTGCCTGGAGTGTCCCTTTAAGTGCATTACACACACATACACCCTGCAATCCCACATCTGAAAGCTTATTTTTGTGATCAGTTATACAGAGTTAGGAAAAGCTTTTATTATTCAGAGATTTTACCTCAGCACTGTTTTGGAGCATGCGTAAAATTCTGGCTGAAACACTCAGAGTCCCTACAAGAGTGGCTCACATCCTAATGAATTGTCACGAAGAACGTCTTCAGTTTTAAGTGATATGCATTCAATCAATTCGGGTTTGTGAGTGAATTTCATTGCATTATACCTCACCCCATTTTATGTACAATACTTCTCTATGGGCTTTTTGTTGTTATATTTTGTATTGTAGATAACCCCTTTTGGGTCAATTTTATATTAAATAAACATGGCAGATCTTCAAGTTTAGCTTTTCCATTTCAAGTTCACCCCTTTCGGACATTTCTATGTTTTGTAGTGTTACAACTTGGTATTAATTCTATTATTTTTAAGTTGTGACAAAAACGTGGAGTTTGCAGAAAAGCCATTTGGGAGATTCTGTGAACATGTGGAAGAAGGTTCCCTGGTGTGATGACCGAATAATTACATAGTTTGTCATTAACTTAATTCAAGATCCCCGCAGTTAGGCGCAGTGCAGGTACACAGCCCGGGTCTGATGAGAATCTCTGGACAGACCTGACAATCCGTCTGCTGAGCACTCCCATCCAACTCACCGAGTGGAAGTAGTTTGACCAAGAAGAGAAATGACAAATTTCAGGATCTACATGTGGAAAGCAGATAGAGACTCACTCCAAGAACTCTGTAACTGCTTATAGTGATGACTTACAGAACTGACAAATATCTGCATTTTTATTGTTTAAATAACCTGGGTGTCACAATAACAATATTTTGAGTCATCAAAGTGTAATCTGTTACCCCATTATTTAAGCCGCATTATACTCTCCTTCACTAGTCAGTGAGGGACTGTACTTTTTTCTTCGTTTAATAAAACTCTGGGTGGAATATCGTGACCACTGAACATTCCTTAGAATTTTGTGACTAAAACGCTTAAAGTGAGCTGTATTTTCAGCTCATTAAGATGTGAGTCGAAGTCCTTTTTTCATTTTTAGGGCAGACAGGATGCACTATTTGATTTTCTTTTTTTTCTTTTATCCTATATTTATATTTTAACCACAGGATTCTGAATTGAGACACTAATACGGAACATCGTCTGTTATGTATAAATATTCTCATGTGCGTTTGGGGATTTTTACATATTGGTGTATAAAGTAAAAATGTGTCTTTTTATGCATAAATATATTGGTGTATAGCAAATCGAATTCTTAGAATAGCTCTGCGCTTCTTACTATTTACATACTTTTGCACTGAGTGGCGTTTTTAAGTGGACAGACTCAGTGGAAGAGATGCCTTCAACCATTCTGAGGCCAATAAAATGAGAATAATTGAGTTGGGCAGTTGGTTATCCCGGTTTTATTATCCACTGAATCATTAAGCCTGAAATGATGCACTCTTTTCTGTGAGCCCACTTGGGTGAGGGTAAAAAGTTCTGTGTGCGAAGTCTGTTCTTTTTTTTTTTTAAAAAACATTTTTTATTTAGCAGAATTTTCACTCCAAAGCAGGATGAAAAAAAATAAAGAATTAACAAGGAAATAGAAAGTTATGAGCAGTACATGACACTATAGGCCCTTTATTATTTCGTTACCAATATGGCGTCCCAATAAAAGAATTTCTCCTGGCGAAAGTGGCCGTGAGCTGCGCTGATATCCCAAAATCCGCTGCAAAGAGAAAGAAGAGCGTCATGGAAGATGGGAGCTGGGGGACTGTGTGGGAGGCGACAACAGAGCGGCTGAGAAAGCCGAAAACATTGGTACAAACTTGATGGCACCACCCACAGACTGCTAATTAAAGATCTTGTAATAAATAATTAACTTCAAGACAAAACTCAACTGCCCGGGATCTTTCGTACCCAACAGCAGACACTCACCTAATTTAACGTCCCCTTTGTCATTGAGAAGGATGTTTGCTCCCTGAAACAGACGAACAAGGAATGTAATCACATTGGTATTGTTTGCATTGTTTGAGCAGAGGGCTTGCAATCTACATGTTTTGTTGAAAACGTGGACGAGGACAGAGTAAGGAAGTAGGAATAAAATCACCATCACCTTCCTAATGTCTTGGTGTACCTACCTTAATGTCTCGGTGTATCTTCCCCTGGTTATGGAGGTAAAAAAGACCCTGTGTATAGGGAAAAGGAAGGGTGAGTGTGTATTGCTCTGTTTAATCATCCTATAGAGAGTTATTCAACACAGTCACAGTAAGAAATTATACTCGTTTGGGATTCTTAATTGTTTCAGACTGCCTGTCTGTCCATCGCTGTTTGCCTGCCTGTCCATCAATGTCTGCCTGCCTGTCCATCACTGTTTGCCTGCCTGTCCATCAATGTCTGCCTGCCTGTCCATCACTGTTTGCCTGCCTGTCCATCAATGTCTGCCTGCCTGCCTGTCCATCAATGCCTTCCTGTCTGTCCATCAATATCTGCTGGTCTGTCCCATACTCTGATGACAATGTCTTACCTGTAAGGTCTCTCTGCACACATACGCGGTCTGCTGCTCAGAGAGGGCTCCGGTCACTGATGCAAAAAAGGACGCAAAAATCATTTAAAATGAAACAATAGCAGCATTAAACAGCAAGGTCATCCATCTAAAAGACGCTCAGTTCTTTCTCACTAGAAACCAGCACTCACCAATACTGCGCCAACACACCTCCATACTACACCAACACACCTCCATAATACATAAAAACACCTCCATACTACACCAACACACCTCCATACTACACAAACACACATCCATACTACATAAAAACACCTCCATACTACACCAAAACACCTCCATACTACACCAGCACACACACCTACTAAACCTACATTCCCCATTACATCAAATTACACCTCCATACTACACCAACACACCTCCATAATACATAAAAACACCTCCATACTACGCCAACACACCTCCACACTACGCCAAAACACCTCCATACTACACCAGCACACACACCTACTAAACCTACATTCCCTACTACATCAAAATACACCTCCATACTACACCAACACACCTCCACACTACACCCGCATACCCCAATACTACACCTGCACACATCCCTTCTAGTATAAAAAGAGGGAGTAAAGACTAGACTTATAAAAGGCAGAAACTGAATACCTTGATACACGTCTTGAAGAGAACCCCCTCCGCAGTACTCCATGCAGATCCAGAGCTTGTTCACCCTGACAGACAGAATTAAATATTACAAACCCAACTGTTTATAACATGTGGTCAGATCATTACATATAAACCCAGCACTGCCTGACCCAGTCCTGATAACGTACGGTCATTACATTGGATTTAAACCCAGCGCTGCCTGAGCCTGTCCTGATAACGTACGGTCATTACATTGGATTTAAACTCAGCGCTGCCTGAGCCTGTCCTGATAACGTGCGGTCAGATCCCCTACATTAGATATAAACCCAGCGCTGTCTGACCCAGTCCTCATAACATACAGTCATTACATTGGATATAAACCCAGCACTGCCTGACCCAGTCCTGATAACGTACGGTCATTACATTACATTTAAACCCAGCACTGCCTGACCCAGTCCTGATAACGTACGGTCATTACATCAGATATAAACCCAGCACTGCCTGTGCCTGTCCCGATAACGTGCGGTTTTACATTAGATATAACCCATGAGCCTGTCCTGATAACGTGCGGTTTTACATTAATAGAAACCCCGCGCTGTCTGAACCTGTCCTGATTATGTAGGTCATTTCATGAGATTTGAACCCAGCGCTGTCTGAACCTGTCCTGATAACGTGCGGTCGTTACATTAGAGAGAAACCCAGCATTATCTGTTTTGATAGCAAAACCCTATTCCTTAAGATTAGGGTAGACAGGGTGGTATAATACCAATATAGGTTTGCTTTAATCTCCCACCTTTAAGGTAGTAGAGTGGGGGAGAGGCGGCTGTTTTCATTTTGCAGCTCGCAATTTGTAACCGCCAAACTCCTACCCCACCCCTGCTTGGACCGTTGAGGGATATCCTGGTCCCCGCTGTATTCATACAGGCCGTGGCAACTGTACTTACTGCTCAAAAAGAGCTGATACTAGCCTGCTCTATCATACCAAGATGGCGACATCCTCACTATCAGACTCACATGGTGTACGTTGAACACAGAAGGCCTGCCACGATGCCACTTCACCCTGCTTGCTGTGACTCCACAAAATTTCCCAACGGTTCTGGTCCATGCTGCCTACCCGCTACACAGCCTATGACAGCTAAAGGGAGACCGGAAAGGCATGTGCCTGGAGATGGAGGAACCTCCTCAGGGCAAAACACAAAAAAAGAAGTGAATGCATCCTCTGCTTCCTGGGCCGGGAGCCACCCGAGGTTTTGTCTCAATGCATCGCCCATACAGGCGGAAGATTGCCCGTGGAAAGCGACGATTATCCCCTCAATCCTCTGACCTCCCCCAGAAGGGGATAGATTTCGACCTCAACTGTATCAGGATCTGTGGCATACTGATGCTGGCCCTCGTACTGGCCTGGGGATGGAGGAGCACCCCATCCTGATGTGGTGGTTTCCTTGGAGGACTAGGCTCCAGTTTATTATTATTTTTATGATGTTTAATGCGGTGCAGTGCTGTGACTTTTTACACTTCATACTAAAACCAGCTTGAAGCTTAGTATGCTGACCTGTATAGTACCCCATGTCTAGAGCTAGTATTGTTCTGGTGTACCCTATTCGCATTGAACACACAGTCCTGTCGGCACAACAAGATATTTTAGCATTGTCCAATAATACGGCTTGAGTTTAAATTGCTAGAATGAGTATCTATCCAGTGTCCACCAGCACAGTAATTATTCATTAGAGTTGACTGGCTCGCTGCACCCGACGCTGATTCTATCAGGATAGGTGTACCAGTTCCTGTTCAGTTTTGATATGTGATTTAAGCTTGTTTGTATTTAATATTCTACATAAAATATGAGACAGGAGTTTACCCTACCTTACATATTGCTAGAACTCGACTTTCGCTTACAAATTGTACCATGAATACTATTGCTGTAACCCCGATCTTATCTATTGTATGATTATTTCTATATCTCAATACAATGAAAGAATGTAAAAGAAAATATATATATAAAAATGACGCAAGAGGGCAGTAAGGAATATTTTGTTGCAAATAAGGGAATCAATAGAAAGAAATAGAAAAATCACTTGCAAAGCAACACTTTATTATACCCAAATCCCAACGTTTCTGCGTCAGGACTAGACTGGATTCTGACGCCATTTAGTAAATCTCTAATGCAAACTTTAAAGAAAAACAAAGCAACTCATTAGAATGAGGTTATAGGGGATTTTCGAAATGTATTTAATGGTGTAATTTCTAGAAATGTCTCGTGTGTTATGTATTTGTGTTTTATGCAAATAAGCCTTTTTTAACCTCTTTACTGCCGAGTTCATTTCGTTTGTCTCGTGTAAATGTATAGCGAACACATAAAATGACAAAGAGTTAATTACGTTAATGTACTTTTTATCATTTCTGTTGACTTTACTGTTTGTTTCTTTTATCAAGTATTATTCATAGAATATTGCAAATTAAAGACCAACTGCCACCTCAAAACTATTTTTAATAGAATAATCCTTTCTTCGTGTTTTGAAAGGAAGTAGATTTAAAAAAAAAAAAAGGAAATATATGTAAAAAATAAGAAAACCTCACCTCTACCTTTAGTGTATGATAGGTTTTTGAGCCATACACAGGCGGCACCCTGGCTCGGAGAGTGCTTGAAAACAGACAGTCAGTCAATGTTCCTGAGAACCGAGTGAAGCAAGGAAGATCATAGGAACTAACAAACTGGCCGACTTAAAGGGATTCTACAGCCCCCAAAACAACTTTAGCTTATTGAAGCAGTTTTGGTGTATACATCATGTCCCTGAAGTTTTACTGCTAAATCCTCTGCCATTTAGGAGTTAAATCCCTTTGTTTATGAACCCTAGTCACACCTCCCTGCATGTGACTTACACAGCCTTCCTTAACGCTTCCTGTAAAGAGTCACCTATTGTTTAAACTTCCTTTATTGCAAATTCTGTTTAATGTAGAATTTATTATCTCCTTCTCTGTTATAGTTTGCTAGACCCTGCAAGATCCTCCTGTATGTGACTAAAGTTCAATTTACAGAGCAGGAGATAAGTAATTTTAAAGTAGGTTATATTTGATGGAAAATTAAACTTTTTGTTTTCATGCGGGCTGTGTCAGTCACAGCCAAGGGAGCTGTTGCTAGGGCTGCATAAACAGAAACAAAAGTGATTTAACACGGAAATGGCAAAGAATTGAACAGTCAGATTTCAGTGGCATGATCTATACATCAAAACTGCTTCATTAAGATGAAGTTGTTTTGGTGGATATAGTGTTCCTTTCAAGCATGTATATAGATGATGAGTAAAGGTATAGTAATGGGGATGAGTTTTACCATTCTTTTTAAAAAATAATTAATTTTGAAAAATATGTTTCCTTCCAATACCTGATGAAATGATTATTATATTAAAGAATAGTTTTGAGGTGACAGTTGTCCTTTAAATGTTCACCTTGTTGCTCGGTGTGTGCATTAATTACAGAGGAAATCAAGCTGTTGGGGATTTCTTATTACAATGAAAGATTTTATTGAATTAACGAATATAAAATATGTAACCGAGCTATAGTTTTAGAAAAACTTTCAAAAAATGACATCTTAAAGAAGCGGCTTAGCGGGTTTTTAGCAAAGCAGGAATTGCAGTTATTATAATAATTGTGAATTAAATTCATGGATTTTTTGAAACACTTTGATCAAAATATTTTTCTTCTTATAATGAGGCTGAGTAACGCTCATGACACCTTCCTACCTTATGTAACTGCTGTAATAGGCCACGATGTTTCTATGTGCACAGCCCTTTAACATCAACACCTCCTTCTGGACAATGGAGAAATCTTCATCTGGTTCAAACAGAAGTTATATTATACAGAGCGAGATCAGGAGATATCTAGAACAGCCTTCCAGTGGAAGCAGTAAAGGCTAACAGTGATATAGAAAGGGTAGTAGATACCAGAAATAGCCTTCCAGTGGGAGCAATAACAGTGATATTAGAGAAAATTTATGACAAACTTACCGTAATTTTCTTTTCCTGGCTATTTCTCATGGCAGCATCACTTATGGGTAGCTCCTCCCTTAGCAGTCACAGGACAGGAATTAATTAGATTAATTAATCAGACTGATAGGTATAAGAGTCCCTCCTCCCCCTACACCTCAGTCCAATTATAAAGCTGAAATAAAGAATGGGCGGGAACCCTGATGCTGCCATGAGAAATAGCCAGGAAAAGAAAATTACGGTAAGTTTGTCATAAATTTTCTCTATTCCTGGCTAATCATGGCAGCATCACTTATGGGTAATACCCAGTGGTGTATCCTGGTTTTGTGCTGCCCTAGGCGGTCTCTCCCTGGTGGTCCAGTGGCTGAAGGGCGTGCGGCGCTGGCAGGCGGGCGGGCGGCCGGCGAGGGAGCACTTCCCATGAGCTGACTGCTCAGCTCCCTCGCGCGTCGGCTGCAGAGTGAGGCTGGGAGCCGGAAGATGACGTCACATTCCGGCTCCCAGCCTCACTCTGCGGTGCGCGAGGGAGCTGAGCAGTCAGCTCATGGGAAGTGCTCCCTCGCCGGCCGCCCGCCCGCCTGCCAGCGCCGCACGCCCGCTCGGGATGTCAGTTAGCTGCGAGGCTAACTAGGCATCTGCCCTGGGCATTTGGGGGGCAACGTTTTTTGCCGCCCCCTGAAAAATGCCACCCAAGGCAAATGCCTTGTATGCCTCGCGGCTAATACGCCACTGGTAATACCCAAGCTTCACAGAAAAATAGGGTGGGAATAATAATCCAAGAAATTACACAAAACTGAAACTCATGCAGCAAAGAAAAGTTTAATATCAACGGGATAAAGAGACCGTAGACAGGACACTCTTTCCAAAGGAGGTGGAAGGAGACTCCACATCAAGTTTGTAGTGCTTCATGAATGTCATCGGAGAAGACCAGGTGGCTGCTCTGCAAATATCATCGTATGGAACCTCTGCCCAGCTAGCCCATGAAGTTGATAATGCTCTAGTAGAATGAGTTCTTATCTCCCGAGGTGGTGATATACCTTTAGAGATATACGCCTTCTTAATTATCAGAGAAATCCAACGTTTCAACGTAGATAAAGAAGCCGCCTCACCTCTCCTTGCTCCCAATCGGCAAAACGAAGAGTTGGTCCGTTTTACGGAAAGACTCAGAACGTTTAAGATATGCAGACAAGCAGTTCATGACATCCAAACGTTGCCATCTAACCTCCTCCTGAGAAGAGGGGTTGGGGTAAAATGATGGAAGAACCACTTCTTGAGAGAGGTGAAACTGAGAAACTACCTTAGGAAGAAACTCTGGTTTTACTTTCAGACACACCCTATCTTGGTAGAACGTAAACAAGAAGAAGATGTAGAAAATGCCTTAATTTCTGAAATCCTTCTTGCGGAAGTAATTGCCACCAAAAACAAAGTTTTATACGTCAGGAGAGTAGCATCCAAACTTTCAAGAGGAACAAACAGATCCTCAGTGAGATAATTGAGCACCATAGGAAGGTCCCAAGGAGGGGTAGTAGATCTGGAAGGAGGCCTCAACCTGAAGGCCCCTTTGAAGAACCTGGAAATCAAAGGATCCGAAGCCCATGAGATATCGCACAAAGCTGAAAGTGCCGAAGACTGAACCTTCAAGGTGCTGAGGCTAAGGCCCTTGTCCAGGCCCTCTTGCAGAAACTCCAAAACTTCAGTATTGCTAGGATGCAGAAAATCCACATTATGAGACGATGCCCAAGTTTGGAACACATCCCAGATCCTATGGTAGCATGAAGAAGTGGAAGCCTTCCTGGAGAGCAGAAGGGTATTGATCACTGCCTCCGAGAGACCTAGTAATTGGAGTCTTTCTTTCTCAAGACCCATACCCCCAGTTTGAGGCGTTCCGAATGAGGATGGAATATAGGGCCCTGCGTTAGCACATCCTCCATCACTGGAAGAGGCCAAGGTTGTTCCTGGCTCATTCTCCAAGGCCAAATTGGAATTACGGCAATGACTTTCTTGCCTTCCTTCAAACACTTACTTCCCACGCTGCAGTTCAGTACTTACACTGAACCTGACCCAGTTAGTCCTGCTCATGCAGGCTGTTTACTGGGTCCTTCAAATGAAGAGAGGCTGAACTTCATTTGGAACGAACCCACGACAAACGCAGGAAGGTGGCCATAAAATAAAATGTAAAAAGTCCTGTAGAACTTGCTAAGGACAGGAAAAAAGACTGAGGTGTAGGGGGAGGAGGGACTCCTTATACCTATCAGTCTGATTAATTTATCTAATTAATTCCTGTCCTGTGACTGCTAAGGGAGGAGCTACCCATAAGTGATGCTGCCATGATTAGCCAGGAAAGAAAGGGTAGTAGATACCTGGAATAGCCTTCCAGTGGGAGCAGTAACAGTGATATAGAAAGGGTAGTAGATAATTTCATATCCTTAAATATTGCAATCATAAAATTAAGAAAAGGGTTTTTCGAAGTTTTGCTCTTTGAGCTATTTGGATTACTCCCTTATTTGCTATCCTTATGTGGGATTGCCAGAATTAAGGATAACAAATTAGGACACTGTTTAGCAGATTGCTTCTATAGTTGGTAATTCACACATAAGTATAAGAAATTAGGGATCTATCTACTAAATACCTGAAAGATCAAAATGAATGAATTTAGATCTTTTAGCAGTGTACCCCAAATTGGTACGTTGTAACTGCCACCTGCATCTAAAATTAACAAAACTTTTATCCAAATTGATATTTTCTGAATTTTGGGCGAACTGAAAACAGAACAATCCCCCCCCATCCCCCCTCCCATCCACCCACAACACATCTCTATCCAGCATCTGTCAGCAATCAGAAGCTCCTCATTCACACCGTTTGTGATATCGAATGCCACATCATAAAACGAACATCCAGCACATTGCCGACCTTTCTGATAGGGATGGGGTGACGCTGCTGTCATTTATAACAACATAAAGAAAGACTTTCAGTGCGTTAGATTTTAGTCACGGGATCGTGAGGCCACTTCATTTGATTAATTAGTGTGGCCAGAAAAACAAGAACTAGGGGCTCCCAATAGAAATAGATTCAGTTATTAATATCTGGAGTCAGCACGCAGAGCATGCCAACACGGGGTCCTCTTTGTGAGAAGCATCTGACTGGACAAAAGCCATCAGGATTGATGACATCACAGGAAGAGGGTCGAGCGGCTGCAAGGTGTTGGTCTCGGTAATAAATTACAGGTAAGTTTACCTGAGACTAATCAAATTTAAAATATATATATAGCTTTAAGGACACTCCTACGTAACATACATTTATTTATTATTAATTAGAATCTTCCTTTAAATAAAAGCAGTTACGAGTTCTCGTAGCGAACTGTATGGACACATTACAGCGTTCCAATCTGATCCAAGCAACAGACACGGAGCTGGGAGAAGGCGGCTGCCTCCTCCCAGACTGTTTTCCATATTTGAGAAAATGTAATAAAATGCAGTAGGCCACTCTGTCTACAAACACAATAACTGATCAGGCTAAACGAGAGGATCCCCATGCACGTGCCTGGTTTTCCATGTTCTAGTCGGCCGGTGAGGTATGTGAAGTGCTGGCCTGTAGGTGCCCCTTGCTTCCTGCCCCTCCCCCCCATTTCCAAGGCTGCCAAACAAGAGGCTATTAAATCACCCCCATTCTAATAAAAGTTTAGTAGAGTGTTCACGGGGCTGATCAGATTATATGGCATTTTAAAGCAGCTCTGATGGCGCAGACTCGCTGCACAGTGTGATATTTATTACAGATAATATTTATTCTGCGTAAATTTGAGCAGATAATTTGTGCCGATTTCAATGACGCCCTACCACTGCCAGTTTTTAGGGCAGCCTCCGAGTTCGCCATTTGCCTTCTGATTGCTACAAGTTACACACCAATATATTTTCCGGTGTGTCTACATGATCATAATCAGATTAATGCTCTCAGAGATTTCTAATCCAGGAAAATGAAGAGCTGTATCGCTGAGTCCCAAGCAGCTAGATTGACACATAGAACACGCACTGTCGGACTCTGACCACAAACTACACCCTGAAATAGCTGGGAGCTATATTTGACCATTTCCTATTCACACCTCTACCCTGCAAAGCCTGCCATGAGAGTGCTTATAACGAGCTGGAAACTGGAGGGCTGTGAGACTGACAGGGGTACAGAGCCACATGTACCAGTGCAGGACTCACCGGATTCCTTCTTTACAATCTTCACCGCTGCCAGATCCCCACTGATCTTATTCCTGGCCTGTTGAAGAAGATAATAAATGAATTAGAAGGCACACTACAAAACAAACAAACAAACAAAAAAAAACTACATATCATGTTGGTGTTAAAATCAATAAAAAATATATAATTTTTAATGCAACTATGCAGTTTGTACAAACCCCTTCCTGTCATTGAAAATAAGAAAAGGAAGTGAAGGAAAGAGTAACACTTTATAAATATAATGCAAGCGTTCTCTGATTATAGAGATAGAGCCTCCTCACCCACGGATTCATATTGACCATCCACTCGCGTTCTCTGATTATAGAGATAGAGCCTCCTCACCCACGGATTCATATTGACCATCCACTCGCTTCACACAATGCGTGGAGGGCAGAACCCTTAACATTTCACGTGGACGGGGGGACACTCATTTTAGGGGTGCGAGTGGGGGTGTAGCCAGGGGACGGCTGTTCTTACTAGTAACAATTTATAGAATTAAAATGTTGTTAAAAGAATGCATTGTTTTTATTGGGGGTCTATCTACAAAAAAAAAGTGATTTTTATTTATTTATATATATTTTTTAAAGATTTGAGCAGTGGAATGTCCTTTAAGTGTGAATTCTCAGTAATACAGAGTGGATTTTAAAACTTACCCTAAAAGTTCCAAACTGGAAGCAAAGCTGCAGAAATGGCTGACTGGTAGAATGTTGACATTTGGCTATTTTGGCCTAAAAGTTAAAAATCACTTTTAAATTCCTTGATGATGATTTATTCACTTAAAGGGAAACTATAAGGGAAAATATAAAACAAACTCTGTTTCCTGGCACTATAGCTTCCCCTTTGTCAAGGCCCCCTCCCCCGGCGCAGTCACTTACCTGGGAACAGCGCCGATGTCCCTCAGCGAAGGCTCAACTCCGCCCACGCTCCTCCCTCGCCAACATCCGCTGACGGGGGAGACCTAATGCGCATGTGCGGCAATAGCCACACTCGCATTAGGATCTCCCCATAGCAAAGCATTATTCAATGCTTTTCTATGGGGATTCCGGCAACTCTGGAGGTCATCTAAAAAGCTGGAAGTCCCTCTAGCCAGCCAATAGAGGAGAAGATAACCCTGCAAGGTAATTATTGCAGTTTATAAAAACTGCAATAATTACCACTCTAGGGTTAAGGATGAGTTGGCACCCAGACCACTTCAATGAGTTGAATGGGAATTGGTGCCTACAGAGTCCCTTTAACCCTAAATTGTAGTGAATTAAAAACTGAATGACAAAATTTAGGCAAAAATAGACGATTTTTTGTTTTGTGAATTTTTAGTTTTTGCAGTGATACATCACGTAGATAATTGACATGAGTTAATAACACAGTAGGTAACCTGTACAGAGGAATAATATATACATACACAGATTAACAATTAGCAGAAGAGGGAGTAACTGCACTTTAAAAAAAAAAACTAATATTGCTTAACAGGGAAAATAGCACACAATTAACATCACTCCAACACACGTCAATTGTCATGAATGTAAGCAGCCGCACAAAGATGGCCGACACTGGTCAGAGTCAACCAACACTCACACTTTGTTAGTAGGAGGTCTGGGCAGCCCAGTATTACAGAACCCCACAGCTCCTTCTCTCCATGCCCAGGCTTGAGCAAGAACTGGCACTCACGGACTCTCACATCCAGAGTGTTCAGAACAACTCTCCACGGGTGTAAATGTGCTGAGGGTTGACACCCATGTGGGTTCTCGGCCCAGAAAGATTAATGGGTCGCAGTTTCACTGCCTGCAGCAGCTGCCGCCGAGTTAGAGACCGCTTCAATGTTTTTTGAAAAGGCAGGGACATGCTACATGCTACAGGCACCAGAATCAATACATTATAGTGTCCCTTTAAGTTTTCCAGTAATTTGAGATACATTAGCTCTTCAGTGTGATCTGACCAGACAGGCTAGCCTTTGCTCCCCATGAACACCAATGAGCCTTGCATGCCTTTAGGTACTAACCACTGGATACAGGCAACACCCTACAAGATTTGCCGTTTTGGAGGTGCTCTGACCCAGTCATCACTATTTGGTAATAGTCACTCTGATCTTTTTGCTTGCCCGTTTTTCCTGCTTCCAACACATTAAACCACTTGCTCCCTAATATATCCTACCACTTGACAGGGGCCATTGTAACAATATAATCAATGTAATTCACTTCACCTGTCAGTGGTTTTAGTAGTGTGGCTGACCAGTGTAGAAATAATAATTAGTACTGTAAGTCACCTAAAATTTCTCTGAACAGTCCACCCCGGGCCACACCCCCATTCACACTCCTAAAATTAAAGGGTCCATTTAAAATGTTTGGAGGTAGGCAACTGTGTTGCAGTCTTCTTTAAAGGTATTTGCCCACTCTTCGGTCCATCAGTTATACATCGGCACGGACTCCCCCAAACTGCCAGTTATTTTGTGGGTGCTAGTGAAAGACTGTCCTCTTGTTCCAATGTCCTTAAACCAAAACGCTTGTCGGTTCTCCCCCTGGCCAGGTAAATGTTGACGGCACTTCGGCAGGCCGTTCGAGAAGTGCATGCGGTGCAGAAGGTTGCGCTGCAGACGCTGCAATCCTTGTTTGGTCGTCTGAAATTTGCTTGTCGGATCATACCAGTGGGGCGGGTTTTAGTAGGTTCCTTGGAAAGGCGACTTGTGGTATCAGTTCTCTGAATCATTTTGTCCAAATTACGGCACTGATGAGGACGGATTTGGAGGTTTGGGATATTTTCCTTCAAGATTTTAACGGCCGTGTCTTTTTCCTGGACAAAGCTGCCTCCTCTCTGGATTTGGAACGGTTTATGGATGCTTCGTGGAGAGTGGGGTTTGAATACTTTTTTGCTGGTCAATGATGCGCGGAACCGTGGTCTGTATGTTGAAAAGCGAATCCTATCATCCACAACTTGGCGTTTTTGGAACTATTTCCCTTAGTGGTTCTGTTGGCGTTATGAGGTTCGATTTTACAGGACAAAAAATATATTTTCTTCACGGACAATATGTCGGTGGTGGGGGCAGTGAATCAGTTCTTCGGTTCCTGTGATTCGCTTGTTGCGGCACTTTGTACTACTCTGTATGCAGTATAATTGTTTTTAGGGCACGTCATGTGCCTGTTTTTTTAAATATCATTGCCGATGCGTCGTCTTGTTCGAAGTGGTCGAGATTCCACTCTGTCCGGACGACGTGTGGCAGCTCGGGACCTCTTGCTTGGACAAATGATATGGGATTCCTTGGCGCCTAAATGATAAATATACAAGCACGATGAAAGAGAATCTAACACAGAGTCCGTAGTGGTTAGGGCATACCCCAACATAGAAATCAATAAGAAGATTAGTACAGACTAGTGAAAGACAAGCCCAATACCAATTATATTACCCTTATTAAAGTACTAGTCCAACAATGGACTAGTACTTTGGAATGGAATGAAAAAAACTTAAAAAATTTAGAATACACAACTTTATTAAATCCCTATAAGGATGATACAAAAAAAAACACACACACACAAAAAAAACAGTGCCAGAAAAATGAGATGAAGTGAAAAAATAGAAAATAAATAAAAATTGGCAAGCGAATGGATCCTATATAGATAGTCAGAATGATCTCCCAGCTTAGAAATAGACGATAAAGCAGGTGAAAGATATCCCCTGGACTGCAAGGAAGGGGAGGCATGACTGCTGCCCTGCAGTAAGGGGTGGGAATATAAAAGATACAATGTTGCCTATATAGTGGGTATAAGAGGGAGAGCAGGGGGGTGGGACTCACCAGTGCAGAAGGAGCAGTCTGGAACAGTTTCCCGTCCGCCCCAAAAAATTTCCCATGCTATGTGATAGTTTGGCTTGTGGTGTTGTTTGTTTCTGTTCTTGTTTTGTCACAGCTATGGCGGAGTTCCTGGCCAGCGCACGTAATGCACGGAAAGGATTTGGGGAGTCGCAGCCTTCTAGGGCTGATGGCCGAAGGCAGGCTGTACGAACTCTGGATAAAGACTTGGAGTATCTGTCTGTTGGGTAGTCACCCCAACAGCTGACAGGTGGAAATGCTGGCTGTGTAAAAGTTTAATAAAGCTGTGGCCGTTGCCCTTACCCAACAATCAGGTGTCATGTCGTTATTGGGGGTAACGGTTTTGGTATTTGGGGTCAGCAGTCATGTAACCTGATACAAATTGAAAGCACCCAGCTAAGTCTTATAAGTCTGATACAATATCTAATGTATAGCAATAAATGTAGATAAAGAGTAGCAGACTGATCCTAAGGCAGTGTAGCGGATCATAGGCAGAAACTGTAGTTGGCGCCTAGTACTTGGATGGTGTATGTTAAGGTATGGAGGGCGTGGGACGAGGCGTGGGCTTGCGCAGGGAGATATCACTCATCCGAGGTACGGCTGGATGTTCTGTTGTGGTATTGGTGCGAGTTATTTTCCACCGGAGCCTCGCCTTCAGTTGTAGATTGTCATTTTGCGGTGTTAGAGTTTCTGTTTAACCTGAACGAGTGGAAGGATATCACAAAGAATTTTGTGGTTCGGCATGCATTAAAAGGTTTTCGTAAGGGAAATAAGAGAAAACCGGATATGAGGAGGCCAGTCTCTTTTGCAGTCTTGGAGGGGCTGATTAGGGTGCTGCGGAATGTTTGTTTTTCTCAACGCTCTGACCCCGCGGCTCTCACCAGACTTACAGTGGGAGCTGACAGGGGAGCTGACCAGACCGGAGGAGAGCGAAGGGAGCTGACAGGAGCTGCAGGAAAGGTAAGTAAACGCTTCCTGCCAGCCCCCAACAGGACCGCCAGGCTTGTAATGAGCCCGGCGGTCCTGGTCTGTATTATGGCAATTAAGTTTCCATAATACAGACACTCACTCGAGTATAAGACGAGTGGGGGTTTTTCAGCACAAAAAATATAATTAACATCTTTTGTTTTAAAATAATAACACAACAACAGAGAGTTCAATGATACAAATTTTAAATAATGATGGGACGACTGCCGTGTGTGGGGGGGTGGGGGTGCAGTGTGTTTGGGGGGTAGGGAGGTAAAGATACATAAAAAAAAAACAAAAACATAAAATCGGCGCCAGTGCCCCCCTCCCCACGACCTATGGCCGCGTGCCCACAGAGAGGGCTCGGCGTGCCATAGGTTCGCCATCACTGCACTACATACACAGCATCCACTACACACACCATCCACACGCTGCATCCACTTCCATACACACACTCTGCATCTACTATACACACACACACAAACACTGTGCATCCATTATATACACACAATGCAATACACGCACACTGCATCTACTACACACACTGCATAACATAATGAACGTGACGTGTTTTGGTTGGTGTGGTTTTGTTGGAGGGGGGGGGCAACATTTCATGCTTGGATCCAGGCAGCACAATGCCTTGGGCCGACCCTGGGTCTGGGCAATACCCTGATTTGTTATTGATCCACTCAGGGGGGAATGAGTTAGGTCAGGTGCAACGTATAAAATGGGATGTGGAAAGGTTGAGGTGTCTTGTCCCGGGCATTACTATTATTTGCAAGGAAAAAACAAATGTGTGAATTACAGGCGCTTATTATTTAGTGGTAATTTTAGACAGTAGCAGCTAGAACACTTTGTGGATGCTCCAAAAATCACCCACTGTTTGAAAAGCAGAACAAGACACACAGAGAAGATAGAAATTAAGAAAAATCGTCTCCACTCCGTGCAGTTTAAGTGCAGCGCTAATTTAAAATAAAGTCAACTCACCCTGTTGATATTGATCGGGTGGTTCAACTTAGTTGGACATATATGAAAAAACACAAGTAGAGAATATATAGTGCAGGGTTGTTTTAAACCACAAACTGGAGTTATCTACTTAATGGCACACTCACATGGTAATGAGCCTTTTTAGAAACAGGCTCTAAACTTTCCGGCTGGTATGTTATAGGGTAACATACACCCCCTTTTTCTGGATCTCTTCCCCGGTCACAATTCCAATATGTATGATGGAGAAAGGAAAGAAAAGGATCTCTAAGTGAGATCTGCAGGTTTAAAAACACAATTCTAGATAATATAAAATTGCTCACCTGACTCAGAGCCTTCCAAACTGGCTCTGAGTTTCAAAAGTTTGTGTCAAATAAAGGGTGACAACCCCCTCTTGAACCTGGGCAACACCAAAGACTGGATCCACTTGTTAAACGGAAATGCACAAAAAAGTGCTATTTAATATGATTAAAATTAAAATTGAATGCAATTCAAATGCAAATAAAAATACATGAAATACAAATAAAAGAAAAATATATAAAAAGTCCGTTTGGATCCTTCCGAAACACGTTTCACCTATCCTGTAGGCTTTTTCAATCGGCATGGTGTTGCTTCCTGGTTCCAGTATTTACATCATCAGTATGAGACTTCCTCTTCAACTCTGATCCTATCAGAATGCGTCCTTGTGTCTGACTCCTCCCCTTCACAGCTTAACTCAATGATATTACTGCATTGAATCATCTACAGATGGGCAGGACTACATCTCCAAAAATGCATTGCGGCCGCATTGTTTGGTCACTTCCGGTACAGCAGAAATGGCAATCCCATCATACTTAACAATACTATAGCGAATTTCGCTCAAAGTCAAAGGAGGGAGGAGAGAAAGATAATATAACATCAATGAATAAAAAGTTATTAAATCAGGCTAATGTAAAATAATGAAGAGATGTGACTCCAAACTTCACCAATATATATGTATGATACCTCACTATATATAAAAAAAAATAAAAAAAAAATTATTAAATATGGATCTGACACAGATATAATAAGCCTTTTGACTAAGTGTAGGTTTTAACAGGGATCTAATAGGTCACTTCTAACCTGAATTTGATCTGGCAGAGGCACAGTGGGTCACAAGAAATGGTACAACTCAAAGTCCACATTGAGACCATGCGGGACCAGAGTACCCAAATCAAAGATCCACCGCATCTCCGCCTGACCCAATTTCTTTATTATGTCATCACCCCTCCAATTGGGGTGGACTTTTTGTATAGCAAAAAAAGTCAAGAATTGTGGATCGCAACCGTGATGTTCCTTAAAATGAGACGAAACACTATGTTGCATAAATCCTTTCTTGATATTGCGAACGTGTTCGTTTATCCTTATATATAATGGACGTTTTGTTCTTCCTACATAGTATAAATTACATGTACACTGAAGTACATATATGACTTGCTTAGTATAACACGTAATCATATTTTTTATCTTATATTTCTTTTTCCCCTGAGGATGTAAAAAGGTGGTCACGCTTCTCTTGCTACTCCCTGTCCGTCTGCACGATATACATAGCCCACATCCAAAGAAGCCGTCTTTATGTAAAAAGGTTTTTGGCTTATTGTCATTTTTTATATGGTTTTTAACTAGTTTTAATGCCAGATTTGGGGCTCCCCTATAAATGACTTTTGGCTGTTCTGGTAATAAATTATACAATATGGGATCAGCCCTCAATATTGGCCAAAATTTTGTAATAATCCGTCTAACTTGTTTGCTCTTCGAGTTAAAGTTACATAGGAAGGGAATATTTTGATTTGTATTGGCATTTTTGCTCTTATACTCCAAAAGTTTTGGTCTTTCCTGAGATTTTATTTCTTCTATTGTACTTTGCAAGATATCATTATTGTATCCCTTTTCTAAGAAGCGGCTTTTCAATTTATTTGCTTGAACATTATATGTTGTTACATCAGTACAGTTTCTTCGTATCCGAAGGAACTGTGACTTTGGGATGTTTAAAAGCCACGGTGAGAAATGGCAGCTTTGTAAATCTATAATTATTTACATCTACCAACTTGAAGTGGGTTTTTGTTTTTATAATGCCTTCTTCGATGTAAATTGTCAAATCCAAAAAATTCACACTCTGTCTACTGTACTCTGCTACCAAATTGATTCCCCAATTATTAAAATTTAAATATCCCAGAAACAGTTGAAGAGTCTCCTCTGGACCGTCCCAAATAAAGAAAATATCGTCTATGTAACGACGATAGGAAACGAGGTTTGCACTCCAGTCCGCGTTATCCAAAATAAAAACATGCTCCCATAGAGCCATAAAAAGATTCGCATAACTGGGTGCAAACCTCGTTCCCATCGCCGTACCGACTATTTGTAAATAAAAGTCGTTGGAAAACCAGAAAAAGTTGTTACATAATATAAGGTGTATGCCTTGAATAATAAAATCTATTTGATCTTGATGGTACAATTCAGACTGTTCTAAGTGGAATCTTACTGCCTCCTCTCCTCTATTATGAGGAATAACCGTGTAAAGAGAGCTCACATCAGCCGTAACTAATATGTAGCTCTCCTTCCAGGTCACATCTCGTAGAGTCTTGAAGAACAAGAGTTCATGGATGAGTGGACAGATATGCTAGACTCATTTGCTTTAAAATCCATGTCTTTGATTGTAAAAAGAAGAAATGTGACTTTGATTAAATTAGATAAACAGATTAATGAGATGCAGGAGTTGCTTATTAAACATACAAAAAGCGAGGAATACCAGAAAATTACTGACGAAATTCAAGATATTCTAAATAGGATTGAAAGAGAGACTATAGAAATTAAAAAGAAAAAATATAAAAGAGACAGATTTGACTTTGATCATAATCAAGTCAGATCCTATCAGAAATCCAAACAGAGAGATATGAGAGAGATATACCCTCAAGAGTCATGGGATAAGTATAATAGCAATTCATATAAACGACCTTATAGAGGAAATAGGAATATAGTACCTGAAAGAGAAACAGCCTATTACCATAATACATCTAGAAAAAGGAAACCATCAATGAGAAACAAAAAAGAATATGCTCTGACTCCTCGCCATGAATCAAAACGTATGGAGAATCCAGTAAGGGAAGGGATGGAATATCCATCCACTTCACATCAGGATTCCAGACGATTGGATAGGCCAAAACAAAAAGAAAAAAATCAAAGATCAAAATCCCCCATTTTTCATCACAATATAAACTCTCAAAATCAAGTCATCTCCCACAATAGGTTTAGTGTCCTAAATAGGGAGCCAGAAACTTTTTTTCAAAACGAGAGACCAAAAGACAAACACAAGACTTTTGCCCCCACTTGGAGGAGATCTCCACGCCTCGACTCTCCATACAAAAGAAGGAGGAGTATAGAGGAAGGGGAGTTAGAGGAGGAAAGAGAATTAAGAAAAGCAAAAAGAGACTGGACACATTACAATCATTAATTTTTAATTTGTCCAGTAAGGTTTTAACAGAGGCCCAAAGTTCAGTTCTGAATAAGGGATTAAAATTTGTCCCGACTAAAGAACTAGACAGATTTGAGATGTATGTTGATTTGAACAAATTTAAGAGACAGTTATGTCTGAAAAAATGTTTTGTGAGGAATGATAGACATCTCAATGAAGAGACTATTCAATCTGAGTTCGTACATACGGCACTCAAGGAAAAATCTGTCTTTTTTCCGCATAATTTCATTTCTGATGAAATGATAAGCTTTGAAAAGGCAGTTATGCAGGAAATTAACAATATTAAGACTAAAACCAGTAATAGGAATTTAAACAAAAAAGAGTGGTTAGCTCTGAAGGAATTGCAAAAAGATCAAAACATAGTGATCAAACCTGCGGACAAGGGGGGGGGGATAGTTGTGATGGATGTAGATAAATATCTCCAGGAGGGTCTGAGATTGGTGGGAGATACAACTACCTATCTCCGACTCCCTGGCAATCCATCACAAGAGATTGAAACCAAATTCAGGAGTTTCTTTGGGGCTGGTAGAGACAAAGGGATCCTTAATGATCAAGAATATAGTTATTTAAACATCCAACATCCAAGAGTCCCAGTGCTCTACCACCTCCCAAAGATCCACAAACATCCTGTTGCCCCACCAGGACGTCCGATAGTCTCTGGAATCAATTCAATTTCCAGTAGACTATCGGAGTATATAGACCACTGCCTCCAACCCCTTGTCCAACAAACCCCAAGTCACCTCAAGGACACCATAACCATACTTCAGACTCTACGAGATGTGACCTGGAAGGAGAGCTACATATTAGTTACGGCTGATGTGAGCTCTCTTTACACGGTTATTCCTCATAATAGAGGAGAGGAGGCAGTAAGATTCCACTTAGAACAGTCTGAATTGTACCATCAAGATCAAATAGATTTTATTATTCAAGGCATACACCTTATATTATGTAACAACTTTTTCTGGTTTTCCAACGACTTTTATTTACAAATAGTCGGTACGGCGATGGGAACGAGGTTTGCACCCAGTTATGCGAATCTTTTTATGGCTCTATGGGAGCATGTTTTTATTTTGGATAACGCGGACTGGAGTGCAAACCTCGTTTCCTATCGTCGTTACATAGACGATATTTTCTTTATTTGGGACGGTCCAGAGGAGACTCTTCAACTGTTTCTGGGATATTTAAATTTTAATAATTGGGGAATCAATTTGGTAGCAGAGTACAGTAGACAGAGTGTGAATTTTTTGGATTTGACAATTTACATCGAAGAAGACATTATAAAAACAAAAACCCACTTCAAGTTGGTAGATGTAAATAATTATATAGATTTACAAAGCTGCCATTTCTCACCGTGGCTTTTAAACATCCCAAAGTCACAGTTCCTTCGGATACGAAGAAACTGTACTGATGTAACAACATATAATGTTCAAGCAAATAAATTGAAAAGCCGCTTCTTAGAAAAGGGATACAATAATGATATCTTGCAAAGTACAATAGAAGAAATAAAATCTCAGGAAAGACCAAAACTTTTGGAGTATAAGAGCAAAAATGCCAATACAAATCAAAATATTCCCTTCCTATGTAACTTTAACTCGAAGAGCAAACAAGTTAGACGGATTATTACAAAATTTTGGCCAATATTGAGGGCTGATCCCATATTGTATAATTTATTACCAGAACAGCCAAAAGTCATTTATAGGGGAGCCCCAAATCTGGCATTAAAACTAGTTAAAAACCATATAAAAAATGACAATAAGCCAAAAACCTTTTTACATAAAGACGGCTTCTTTGGATGTGGGCTATGTATATCGTGCAGACGGACAGGGAGTAGCAAGAGAAGCGTGACCACCTTTTTACATCCTCAGGGGAAAAAGAAATATAAGATAAAAAATATGATTACGTGTTATACTAAGCAAGTCATATATGTACTTCAGTGTACATGTAATTTATACTATGTAGGAAGAACAAAACGTCCATTATATATAAGGATAAACGAACACGTTCGCAATATCAAGAAAGGATTTATGCAACATAGTGTTTCGTCTCATTTTAAGGAACATCACGGTTGCGATCCACAATTCTTGACTTTTTTTGCTATACAAAAAGTCCACCCCAATTGGAGGGGTGATGACATAATAAAGAAATTGGGTCAGGCGGAGATGCGGTGGATCTTTGTTTTGGGTACTCTGGTCCCGCATGGTCTCAATGTGGACTTTGAGTTGTACCATTTCTTGTGACCCACTGTGCCTCTGCCAGATCAAATTCAGGTTAGAAGTGACCTATTAGATCCCTGTTAAAACCTACACTTAGTCAAAAGGCTTATTATATCTGTGTCAGATCCATATTTAATAATTTTTTTTTTATTTTTTTTTATATATAGTGAGGTATCATACATATATATTGGTGAAGTTTGGAGTCACATCTCTTCATTATTTTACATTAGCCTGATTTAATAACTTTTTATTCATTGATGTTATATTATCTTTCTCTCCTCCCTCCTTTGACTTTGAGCGAAATTCGCTATAGTATTGTTAAGTATGATGGGATTGCCATTTCTGCTGTACCGGAAGTGACCAAACAATGCGGCCGCAATGCATTTTTGGAGATGTAGTCCTGCCCATCTGTAGATGATTCAATGCAGTAATATCATTGAGTTAAGCTGTGAAGGGGAGGAGTCAGACACAAGGACGCATTCTGATAGGATCAGAGTTGAAGAGGAAGTCTCATACTGATGATGTAAATACTGGAACCAGGAAGCAACACCATGCCGATTGAAAAAGCCTACAGGATAGGTGAAACGTGTTTCGGAAGGATCCAAACGGACTTTTTATATATTTTTCTTTTATTTGTATTTCATGTATTTTTATTTGCATTTGAATTGCATTCAATTTTAATTTTAATCATATTAAATAGCACTTTTTTGTGCATTTCCGTTTAACAAGTGGATCCAGTCTTTGGTGTTGCCCAGGTTCAAGAGGGGGTTGTCACCCTTTATTTGACACAAACGTTTGAAACTCAGAGCCAGTTTGGAAGGCTCTGAGTCAGGTGAGCAATTTTATATTATCTAGAATTGTGTTTTTAAACCTGCAGATCTCACTTAGAGATCCTTTTCTTTCCTTTCTCCATCATACATATTGGAATTGTGACCGGGGAAGAGATCCAGAAAAAGGGGGTGTATGTTACCCTATAACATACCAGCCGGAAAGTTTAGAGCCTGTTTCTAAAAAGGCTCATTACCATGTGAGTGTGCCATTAAGTAGATAACTCCAGTTTGTGGTTTAAAACAACCCTGCACTATATATTCTCTACTTGTGTTTTTTCATATATGTCCAACTAAGTTGAACCACCCGATCAATATCAACAGGGTGAGTTGACTTTATTTTAAATTAGCGCTGCACTTAAACTGCACGGAGTGGAGACGATTTTTCTTAATTTCTATCTTCTCTGTGTGTCTTGTTCTGCATTACTATTATTTGGTCGGATATGGTGCCTCGGTTACATTGCCAGCATGCTAGGGATCCAAGGGCAGTAGCCTAGATGAGGGGTAAGGTTAATAAAATGGTATAACTTTTTTATCAGATGGACCCGGCGGCGTGTAGATAGGCATGTTGACTTGGAATTGATGCTTCCGGGTTATTTCAGGCAGGATGGGGTGCACTTCTTCGACATTGGTAATGATTTCCTTAACATGGGTTTCAAGGAAGGCTTACAGCGAGCATTGTTTATGAGTGGGTGGGGTGCTCAGATATCTTGAGGCTTCAAGCTCTGAGCTGTGGCAGGGGATGTAGAAATATTGGGGTATGGGGTAGGAAGGTAGGAACTCCCACCAGGAAGAACATGTAATTCTGGAAAGAAAAATAATGGATCTGGAAAATAAAATTATAGATCTGGAGGACAGATCAAGGAGGAACAACCTAAGAATTAGAGGTGTGTCAGAACAAATAAAGACAACAGAATCTGAAACATATATAGAAGAATTTTTTAAATATATGAAAGTGGAATGGGATATCAAAAGCCCTATGATGGGTCTGTTAGCTAATGAAGAACAGGAAAAGGCAGAAATTTTAAATAACTATTTTTATTCAGTATATATTAATGAAAATCCTATGGCAAGAGATATGCAAATGATTGCTGCAAAAAAACTTGCAGATAACTTGTGATTGGATAACTCGAGACAAGGTGCTACAGCAGTTAAAGAAAATGAATGTAAATAAAGCTCAGGGGCCTGACGGTTTTCACCCACGAGTACTTAAGGAGCCGAGTGGGGAAATAAGTGAACCTCTGTATTTAATTTTTCAAGATTCTTTTGGTTCAGGTATTGTACCGGAGGATTGGAGGAAGGCAGATGTCGTTCCTATATTTAAAAAGGGTTCAAAATCCTTGCCTGGAAATTATAGACCTGTGAGCTCAACTTCTGTGACTGGGAAATATTTGAAGGGCTACTAAGGGATAATATTCAGGAATTCATTGGGAAGAACTTTGTTATTATCAATAATCAACATGGTTTTATGAAACATAGTGTCATGCGGTAACACTTCTGGGTTCGGCACTCCGCTGTGCGGAGCCGAACCCCGCCCCCCTCTGACACAGCTCTGACGGTATTTAGGGAGACCGTGCCAGAGAGAGGGGGCTTGGTGATACTGAGAGCTACTTCCGCCAGACTTACCTCTCCACAGGCTCTGGCATTGTGGGTCCTACTTCCGAATATGCATGCCGGCTCCTGGGACACGCCGGCTCTACAAACTCTGAAGTCGTCCTAGCCTTCTGGGCTAAGACAAGTATGCTTCATGTCATAGAGGATTACTGGATAATAGAAACTCACTTACTTTACAAGTGGACCCTCTGAACTATTGGAGGACTACTCACATTAAACTCAAGTATATCTTTCAGCTATTTGTCTACAATATCATTTAATAATGAACTAATGCTTGCTTACTAAATCTTCACTGCTTCAAGCTACTAATTATATGGAGGACAACTCCCATCATGCTTATTCACTATGAACTGTTCTAGCTTTGCAAATATTCTCAGCCACTTGCTTATTGTTTCTATTGAAGATTATTCTCATGAAATTAAAGAATGTTACTTAATGCATCTCTGAGGAAATACTTATTAATGAACTTTGTGTTGTTTATTACTTGCACTTCTTATTGGATTATTGCCTAAATGCAATTCATTTAAGTTTAACACTTATTAAAACTTTGGTTGAATCAAGTTACCAGCAATTCTCTCTTTTCTTAAAGCTACAGTATTGATACTTTAAAGATTCTCCGTTTCTTCACTATTGTAATTAGGGAGTTTTACAAGCTGCGGTTGAGTTCCAATCCAAATCACCCAAGTAGCGTAACACATAGTAGAGGTGGTAGAGGTTAACACAGTAAAGGAGTTTAAGCATGCGTGGGATAGGCATAAGGCTATCCTAACTATAAGATAAGGCCAGGGACTAATGGAAGTATTTTTAAAAATTGGGCAGAGTAGATGGGCCGGATGGTTCTTATCTGCCGTCACATTCTATGTTTCTAAACACAGGTCATGTCAAACTAACCTAATTGCATTCTACGAAGAAGTAACTAGAAGTATGGATCAGGGTGTCGCAGTGGATGTGCTCTACTTGGATTTTGCCAAGGCATTTGATACGGTTCCTCACAATAGGTTAGTGTTGGTCTAGATGATTAATCTTGTTCTTGGGTAGAACATTGGCTTCAGGATAGAGTACAACGAGTTGTCATTAATGGTAAATTTTCAGGCTGGACAAAAGTGGTAAGTGGTGTCTCTCAGGGTTCTGTTTTGGGACCGATTCTATTTAACATATTTATAAATGATCTTGAAATAGGCATTGAAAGCCATGTTTCAGTGTTTGGAGATAACACAAAACTTTGTAAAGTAATAAAATGTGAGCAGGATATTAGACATGTGCAATTCGTTTCATTACAAATGTCAATTCGGATGAATTTTGGGCAATTTGGATACTTCCGAATGTCCGTATAGCTGAATCGTCGAAGTTCCGAATTTCCGAAGTGTCAAAGTTCTGAAATTGCCGAAGTTCCGACAGTATTGCAGAAGTACTAATATACCTACCCAGTGGAAGAATGAAGAATGTTACACTGTATACAAGTTTAAATAAAAAGTATACTAACATCAGCTGTAAGCATTTGCAACACTTACAACAAGCAAGTAACATACATTCATATAAAATGTAAGTTACTTAGCCAGTCAATGGAATGACAGGAATGAATAAGTAGATAACTCCCTAATTCCCACGGTATTAGGGAGCTATCTACTAAAAGGCTGAAAGACCTAAATTGGTCTTTCAGCCAAATTTACTAATACTAAGTAAAGATAACTTAGTGTAAGTAAATTATGCCGCTACTCGCTATATCGTGAGTAGGGGCATGTCTAGTAAACTCATAACAACACTCTGGTTAATTGAAAGTAACCAATCAGAGTTATGAGTCAAATGACACAGAGCACTCTAATTGGCTGGATTTCAAGCTAACCAATCAGAGTGCTATGACAGGTAAATGTAGAGACTTACCAGTCAGTCTCTTCATTTACCTGTCAGAGCACTCTGATTGGATGGCTTAAACCAACTTTGCAGATAGTACAATAGAACTCAGATCCAAGAATATAAAATACTGGTGGCAAGTGGGGGTTTTCCACAAAGATCCTTATACTGCATGAAGGAAGGCAAGACCTTAAGCTTCAATACGGCAGAAGATCTTTAAAGATGGTTGACGCCAATTAAAGAGATATAAAAAAATCAACAGATCAATAATTACTTTGCTAGGAAATAGGAGGGGAGAGTGGAGAAAAAAAGGGGAGAAATAGGAGGAATAAAGTAAAAAGAGGACGGAAAAGGGAGAGAAGGGAGGAAAAGGGGAAGGAAAGGCATCTGCGGATTTATTTATTTTTTTCATTTTTTTTTTTTGTAGTTGTGGTGAATGATGATTTATAGATGTACACAATATAAAGAGGAAGTATATACACACTAGCAGAATAAAAATTAATACATTTAGAAATGGCAGGCAGCAGGTGATGTGAAGAAATTAGAGGGTTTTTTTCTTGAGCTGGCAGAAATTGTTATATTAAGCTAGCATCACTGAACACCCGTGGGATCAACTCACCTTTTAAAAGATCACTAATTCTGGATTTCCTGAAGAAAAACCAAATACAAGTTTGTGCATTACAAGAAACACATTGGATAAAAACTGACAGAATTAATATAAGATCTATTAGTTATCTGCTTATTATAAGTGCGGCTCTGAAAAAAAAAAAAAGGGGGTGGGGGGGTGGTCTTTATGTTTTCCAAAAATATATCCATAACATTAAATACCAAGATCTTGATAAAGAAAGAAGATATATTATCCTGGTGTGCGAAATAAATAATTCACTTTTTACATTAGCTAATATATATGCACCTGATAAGTCTACTATAAAATTTACAACAAAGATTATGAAGAAAATTGATCAAATCAAACAGGGGGTGCTATTAATTATGGGTGATTTCAACTGTGTAATAGACCCTTTTAAAGATAGGAAGAACTATAATGGAAAAAAGAATCAACAAAGGAACTTCAGATAGATTACAATATTTGATAGATCTATGTAATCTTAGGGATATTTGGAGAGCGTTTCATCCATTGGAGTTGGAATTCACATGGTTTTCAAAAACATTAAATTCCTACTCCAGAATCGATCTTATACTGGTGGATGTTGCCATGCTATACCTTGTTAAAAAGATAGTAATACAGGATATAACATGGTCAGACCATAACCCAACCATACTGGATTACAAAGACGCTTTTGACAAGTTTCGTAACTATTGGCGATTGAACGATAATATATTATATAAAAACTATAATATTGAACAGATAAAAAAATAACTATTTTACTTGGAAAACAAAAATAATGGGACATCAGATATTGGAGTATGGTGTGCTTACAAAAGCATAATCAGAGGCCACCTTATGGGGATGGCAATCAGAATGAAAAAGAAAGAAGGCCCGCCACTTTCAGAGGTATACATAGCGCTAAATGACACATAATAAAATAAAACATTCTACTGAAATAGCAAAGAAAATATCAGAAATAGAACATAAATTTGCAATTATCGAATAAAATAGCAAAAACTTTAGAATTTTTTTCAATCTAAATGGTACCAAAAAGGAAATAAGCCAGAAGCACTTATGACTAGTAAGTTGAAAAAGGAAAAAGAATAAAAGAGAGATATCTAGAATTAGGGATAAAGATACATACATTATGGCCCCAGAACAAATAGGTGGAGCATTCGAAAAATTCTTTTATTTGGTAGTGATGAAGAAATTAAAAAATTATTTGAAAATATAAAGATGCCCGAAATTCTGCCTGACCACTTAGAAACAATAAACCAACCTATACCAGAAACAGAAGTTATTAAAGCAATAGATAAGCTAAAGAAAGAACTGCCCCGGGCCCAGATGGCTTTACAATTTTTTTTTATAATATTATGAACGATTAAATAAAAGACGAACTCACAAACATGTTTCTAATTACATATAAAATACAGGAAGGTGCCCTGAAGAGTTATTGAGAGCAAATATCGTCCCAATTCCAAAATCAGATAAAGATCCAGAACTGATTAAGCAATTTTAGACCGATTTCATTGATAAACACAGACATCAAAATATTCTCGTTGATTCTTGCGAAACGACTGAAATCTGTCATACCAGATATCATTAACAACGATCAGGTTGGTTTTATTCCAGGCTGGTCATCAGTTAACAATACTCGGAAAGTAAAAGACATTTTGGCGGCAACAGAGACCAAAAGGATCCCACTCATGCTCATATCAATAGACGGAAAGAAGGCGTTTGATGGGGTAGGGTGGGCTGTTATGTCAGTCACATTAAAAGAATTTGGATTTACAAGTCCAATTCTAAAAGTGGTATCTGCTCTCTATGACTCTCCACAGGCAAAAGTCATAGGATCTGGATTTACCTCTCAAATTTTTAACATTAACAACGGGACAAAGCAGGGATGCCCCCTCTCCCCACTGTTATACATATTAGTATTATAACCTTTAGCCATTGCTATAAGACGAAATAAAAAAAAATTACAGGCTAAAGATATCCGTTGGGGCAGGTTAAACGAAATTTCTATGCAAATGGTATACTGTAACCGCGGCTGGTTCCCTTATTTATCATTATAATGTCTTAAAGCATAGAACGTAGTAGGGCTAACCATACAGATATCTTAGCCATAATCTGATATAGTTAGTGTAAGAGATCCTCTATTTAAAATATATAAATAATTGAGAATACAATATAAAATAAGGATTGTCTTGGAAGTGTAGTTGTCTTTTAGATATTTATTATATAACAATTATATAAAAATATAAATATATACATATAAAATCCATTATAGCAGAGTTTAGAAGATTAAATGAAATGCTTGCAAATATCATTAATAGGTTAACACACCCTTCTGAACATGTCATCATGTCAGCCTCTCTGTCATTTTAAGATGGAGCAGCGTCTGTCTCCAAGTCTCTCCTCTGTTCCTTAACATTTAAAAGTATACCTAAGGTGTCTCCATTTTATTGTTACCGTAGTTCATATATGAAAAAGTTACTTTTTTACTTTATTCATTTTAGGACCTCCCTTGGCATATACAGTTTAGTAAATACAACATTTCATTCTAAAACTTGTAGTATTTGCATTTGCCCATAACAATACTACTGATCGTTGAAGAGCCAGAGACCTCTATTCCAGAAGTGTTAAAAGATATAAATAAAGTACTAGAGTATCGTGTTATAAAATAAATTTAGACAAATCAGTATTTATAGCCAAGAACATGAGTAAGAGATCAGTTAATCTCCTTATAAAAAATGTTGGACTTCCAAAAGACAAAAATGGTTTGACAATTTTGTAAAAAAATTTGACAGATTAACAGTTTAAACTTTCGAATAGATGGTACTTGACACCGAATCTTCAAAATAAAATATATCCAAATACATCTAATAGATGTTGGTGGTGTAACACTGATAAGGGCACCTTATTACACATATGGTGGTACTGCCAACCAATATATACTTAATTACATTAATTGATTATATTACAGGAAATAAATTAACAATGGGTCCGGGAACAATTTTATTAAATTTAATTGAGTCAAAAATGAAGATAAAGGACATCAGAAGTAAAAGAGTTAATAGAAGCTAATTCCTTACCCTTATTAAAACAAACCAATAAAAACTTACGGGATTGGAGGGGGTTGGGATTCTCGTGGTCGGGCATAATCAATATACTAAGGGCTTATTTCTTACCAAAATGGCTCTATTTATGGAGAATGATCCCTCTTCACTGTCCCGAAAATTGGTTACTAATGTGAAAATTTTTGCCAGGATAAGACAGATGGAGGTTTGAGTTACCCAGAAATCTGTCAATTTTACCAGGCCAGTAGACGGTTTAATATAATCACAGAATACATCCGCAGAAAAGGAAACATGGTATTCAATAAAGAAAGACAGCACAAAGGTAGAGAATTTAGCCTCTCTATTCTGGATTTTAGATCTCAATAAAAACTTTATAGCTGAGGCATGATCCAAATCACATATAATTAGAGATCTAGCAGGTTGGTGGGATATATTTGGAAAAAAAGTCGGACTAAAGAATAGAATAATAGATGCACTACCAATCTTAGTGATTAATGATATGCTAGATATTAATATCAACTCTAGGAAGAGCAAGGGAATAAATAAAATCATAGATATAACAGAGGATTATAAAATCAAGCCATTTCAACAAATAGGTGAGGAATTCTGTATCCCACCAAATGATATCTTTAACTATCTTAGAATTAAAGGGTTTGTCTCAGTTTATATGATTAAGAATAGAGTGTGTAAAATAGACGGGATTATTCAAAAATATGCTGTCTAAATCTGTTAAAGTCTTATATAAATTAAGACATGAAACTTTCTGGAGCAATTGAAAAAGTGGGGAAAAAAAGATCTTCATATTCAAATAGATAAGGAAGTTTGGAAAAGTAATTTTAATAAATTATATAAACCCGTCCACTGCTTAAATTTGACAGATTAACAGTTTAAACTTTTGAATAGATGGTACTTGACACCGAATCTTCGAAATAAAATATATCTAAATACATCTAATTGATGCTGGTGGTGTAACACTGATAATGGCACCTTATTACACATATGGTGGTACTGCCAACCAATATATACTTATTGGAAAGATTACATTAATTGATTATATGACAGGTAATAAATTAACAATGGGTCCGGGAACAATTTTATTAAATTTAATTGAGTCAAAAATGAAGATAAAGGATTCAATGTTAATTTTACACATCATTACAGCAGCCAAATTACTGATAGCACGGAATTGGAACAATTTACAAATCGAATCCACCCGAGAAGTTAAGTGGCAAGCAAAAATGCAAAGAGGCATCTTAGAGAGCTTAGAAAACTGCTACACGCAAATAGAATGTTGGGATACTTGGATTGATAAATCAGAATTTTTAAAATAAAATTATCATAGAGGGTCCCTCATCCAGGTAAATGTAATGAAACAAGGAGGGGGACAGAGAGATGAATAGTAGGTTATGTAATGAGGTGGCAAGGGGTTTTCCCATACACCCGCCTTCCATGTCCGACAAAAGAAGCAATTAAATAAAGAGGGAATGAATGGGTCTACCTGGCGTATATGTGAAAAAAAAAAAAAAAAATTGATCTCTCCAAATAAAGATAGGAAAGTGAGACTAAAAGGGTTATTATAGGGATAATTAGAATAGGGATGGGATAGGGGGTGGGAGGGAAGAAACAGGGGAACATACGATGAATTAAAGGTTAAACCCCTGAAGTTTTACTATAGCTAAAAAAAGATAGAGAGAGACCTCAAAGCTGCTTATTTTATGTAATAGTTTTAATAACTATACATTGGTAAGGTATCTTAAATAAAGTAATTTAAAAAAATATATATATATTTATAAATTATTAAAGCCATGACATTTACCCACTTTAATTTAGTGCCTGTGTCTTTCTGGGAAAGGAGTAAATTCAGATCATTTGTAGCATATGCCGAGAGACGACTATGCGCATTCAAGCTATTAACAGAGCAGGAGATAAATTCTATATTAAAAAGAATTTGCAATAAAGGAAGTGTAAACATTAGATGACTCTTTACATGAAGTGTTTAGGAAGGCTGTGCAAGTCGCCTGCAGGGAGGTGTGACTAGCGTTATACAAAGTGAGACTGCAGGGGCATGATCTATACACCAAAACTGCTTCATTAAGCTAAAGTTGTTTTGGTGACTGGTGTCCCTTTAACTTTCACTAAATTACTCAGTACTGCTGCTTCCCAGTGAGTTCTTCTTTATCTATTAAGAATATCTCATGAATATCAGATTGTTATTATAACCCACTTACTCCCTCAGGATATGGTTATATTAATCCGATCCTGGTTGTGTGCCATGACACCGGACGCAGGTTTGGTGGTGTCCATGTGGCCGCAATGTGTTATACTGTTGCATTGCTTGCCAGCCTTAAATAGTAGATGATGGTACAGACTGCTACTCTTGGGGACGAGAGTTCATTCCTAACTTCTAACCTGCAAGAAGCATGCCCACTCCCTACCACCTTCTTCAAGGGCGTTAATAGCAGTGACTGAAATCTTACTAAGTGATAGAATAACTCTAAAGCCCTAATCTCTAATCTGAGGTTCTGGGCACTGTTGTGGCTATCTGGACTGAGCATTACTTAGTTGGACTGGACAGTTAGGATAGCTTTCTTGTTTTCCTCTTTGCTTTGATTTATTTGCCCTGTTTTACTGTTGAAAATGCAAAATATTTCATATGTTCGATCAACATTGTTGTTCTACTCTATTTCCTTTATTATTGATGAAACTGTGCATGACATGTCAATTATATCTTGCATTCACAATAAAAAAACTGTCTTTAAGAAGAATAAAAAATTATTACCCACTCTCTACATTGGAGAGGTGAAAAATAAAATAAAAATAATATGTTCTACATTGTAACTTCACACGTAGAGCAATGTTCCTCTTAAATGTCATGTGTGTGCACATTTGCAGAATAAACAGACCAGTAAAAAGGAACAGGTTCGCCCCCACATACCACAGCAGGGGAAGCCCAAACGTCTGAGGGTCTCCTGCTGGGTGGAGAAATTCAGATCTGCAACACGGTCTGAAGAGCACAAATTGTATCTCTGCACAATATATACCAATAACAAGACAATGAGTGTTTTGTAGAACCCACATAGAGTATTGTGTTCCGTTCTATAGAGCGGATCCCAGAATATAGAGAGGTAGTGATAGTACTTTATAGATCCCCGGTAAGATCTCACCTAGAGTATTGTGTTTAGTTCTATAGAGCAGATCCCAGGACATAGAGATGTAGTGATAGTACTTTACAGATCCCCGGTAAGATCTCACCTAGAGTATTGTGTGCAGTTCTATAGAGCAGATCCCAGGTGGACATAGAGAGGTAATGATAGTACTTTATAGGTCCCTGGTAAGATCTCACCTAGAGTATTGTGTTCAGTTCTATAGAGCAGATCCCAGAAGGACATAGAGAGGTAGTGATAGCATTTTATAGATCCCTGGTAAGATCTCATGTAGAGTATTGTGTTCAGTTCTATAGAGCAGATCCCAGGAGGACATAGAGAGGTAGTGATAGTACTTTATAGATCCCCGGTAAGATCTCACCTAGAGTATTGTGTTCAGTTCTATAGAGCAGATGCCATAAGGACATAGAGAGCAGTGGCGGATCCGGAGCCTGATCTCGGGAGGGGCACTTGTAGATTATTTAAAGAAATAATCCAGGCACAATAACCACTACAGCTCAGTGTAGTAGTTATGGTGCCAGTAGTGCCAGGATCCCATCCCAGAGTAAGTAGTCAAACCGTTTGAGAACAGTTTGACAACTTACCTGGGGTCTGCTGGGTTATAGGGCATAGGAGCAGTGGTATGTGTTAAGGGTGAAGTGTGTATGAAAGGTGCAGTGTGTGTGAGCGGTGAAGTTTGTGCGTGAGGGCGGCAGTGTATGTCTAAGGGGCAGTGTATGTGTGGGGCAGTGTGTGTGAGAGAGCTGCAGTGTGTGTGTGTGTGTGTGTGTGTGTGTGTGTGAGCGGTGCAGTGTGTGTGAGGGGGCCAGTGTATTTGTTTTTGGGTCAGTGTGTGTGGGTCAGTGTGTGTATGGGGCAACGTGTGTATGTGGGGCAGTGTGTGGGGGGGGAATGTGTCTATCGGTGTGCAGTGTGTGTATGGGGGTGGAAGGGGGGTAGGGAGGCTTTTTAATATTTTTTTTAATTTTTATTTAATAAAATTCATATATTTATGTCCCCCCTCCCTTCTTACCTTTACTGGGAGGAGGGGGACATTTCTGGATCCCTGGTGGTTCCTTTGGAGATTCCCTGGTGGTTCCAGTGGTAGGAGTGAACTCTAGCCCACGCTCCAAGGCTAGAGTTCACGCACGCGAGATTTGGAGCGTTGCCATGGTAACCGCCCCGGTCCGTAGGCACATTGCAGGGCTGGCACTTGGACAATGCCAGCCCTGCATTAGCCGGCAGGGGAGAATCTCGGGGGGAGGGGCAATTGCCCCGTTGCCCCCCCTGGATCCGCCACTGATAGAGAGGTAGTGATAGTACTTTATAGATCCCCGGTAAGATTTCACATAGTTACATAGCTGTTAATTGGCTGAAAAGAGACTTGCGTCCATCAAGTTCAGCCTTCCGCACATTTGTTTTTTGCTGTTGATCCAAAAGAAGGCAAAAAACACAGTTTGAAGCACTTCCAATTTTGCAACCAACTAGGAAAGAAATTCCTTCTTGACCCCAGAATGGCATTCAGATTTATCCTTGGATCAAGCAGTTATTACCCTACATTGAAAGATTATATCCTTGAATATTCTGTTTTCTATAGAGCAGATCCCAGGAGGATATAGAGAAGTAGTGATAGTACTTTATAGATCTCACCTAGAGTATTGTGTCCAGTTCTATAGAGCAGATCCCAGGACATAGAGAGGTAGTGATAGTACTTTATAGATCCCTGGTAAGATCTCACCTAGAGTATTGTGTCCAGTTCTATAGAGCAGATCCCAGGACATAGAGAGGTAGTGATAGTACTTTATAGATCCCTGGTAAGATCTCACCTAGAGTATTGTGTTCAGTTCTATAGAGCAGATCCCAGGAGGACATAGAGAGGTAGTGATAGTACTTTATAGATCGTGGTAAGATCTCACCTAGAGTATTGTGTCCAGTTCTATAGAGCAGATCCCAGGACATAGAGAGGTAGTGATAGTACTTTATAGATCCCGGTAAGATCTCACCTAGAGTATTGTGTTCAGTTCTATAGAGCAGATCCCTGGACATAGAGAGGTAGTGATAGTACTTTATAGATCCCCGGTAAGATCTCACCTAGAGTATTGTGTTCAGTTCTATAGAGCAGATCCCAGGACATAGAGAGGTAGTGATAGTACTTTATAGATCTCGGTAAGATCTCACCTAGAGTATTGTGTGCAGTTCTATAGAGCAGATACCAGGAGGACATAGAGAGGTAGTGATAGTACTTCATAGATCCCCGGTAAGATCTCACCTAGAGTATTGTATTCAGTTCTATAGAGCAGATCCCAGGACATAGAGAGGTAGTGATAGTACTTTATAGATCCCGGTAAGATCTCACCTAGAGTATTGTGTTCAGTTCTATAAAGCAGTTCTTAGGAGGACATCGAGAGATAGTGATAGTACTTTATAGATCCCCGGTAAGATCTCACCTAGAGTATTGTGTCCAGTTCTATAGAGCAGATCCCAGGACATAGAGAGGTAGTGATAGTACTTTATAGATCCCTGGTAAGATCTCACCTAGAGTATTGTGTTCAGTTCTATAGAGCAGATCCCAGGTGGACATAGAGAGGTAGTGATAGTACTTTATAGATCCCCGGTAAGATCTCACCTAGAGTATTGTGTTCAGTTCTATAGAGCAGATCCCAGGACATAGAGAGGTAGTGATAGTACTTTATAGATCTCGGTAAGATCTCACCTAGAGTATTGTGTGCAGTTCTATAGAGCAGATCCCAGGAGGACATAGAGAGGTAGTGATAGTACTTTATAGATCCCGGTAAGACCTCACCTAGAGTATTGTGTTCAGTTCTATAGAGCAGATCCCAGGACATAGAGAGGTAGTGATAGTACTTTATAGATCCCCGGTAGGATCTCACCTAGAGTATTGTGTTCAGTTCTATAGAGCAGATACCAGGAGGACATAGAGAGGTAGTGATAGTACTTTATAGATCCCGGTAAGACCTCACCTAGAGTATTGTGTTCAGTTCTATAGAGCAGATCCCAGGACATAGAGAGGTAGTGATAGTACTTTATAGATCCCTGGTAAGATCTCACCTAGAGTATTGTGTTCAGTTCTATAGAGCAGATCCCAGGACATAGAGAGGTAGTGATAGTACTTTATAGATCCCTGGTAAGACCTCACCTAGAGTATTGTGTTCAGTTCTATAGAGCAGATCCCAGGAGGACAAAGAGAGGTAGTGATAGTACTTTATAGATCCCCAGTAAGATCTCACCTAGAGTATTGTGTTCAGTTCTATAGAGCAGATCCCAGGAGGACAAAGAGAGGTAGTGATAGTACTTTATAGATCCCTGGTAAGATCTCACCTAGAGTATTGTGTTCAGTTCTATAGAGCAGATCCCAGGACATAGAGAGGTAGTGATAGTACTTTATAGATCCCCGGTAAGATCTCACCTAGAGTATTGTGTTCAGTTCTATAGAGCAGATCCCAGGAGGACATAGAGAGGTAGTGATAGTACTTTATAGATCCAGGTAAGATTTCACCTAGAGTATTGTGTTTAGTTCTATAGCCTCCTTGGAATTTTTGATGGAAAGTAAGTTCCCAGCCTATCAAATGACATACCACTGGAAAGCCCAGGATGTCCTCTTTACAATACAGCAGGGATTAATACAGAAGCTCAATAGAATAAAAGGAGATGCATGTGAACGAAATGTCCATTACAGAGGACACAAGTTAATGGGCTGGGGATAGAGCAGAAAATGGTTAAATGTAGAGTAAGAGCAGAGTGGAGGGTGAAAGCAGAGTGCACAGTATGAGCCGATTGCTAGTTGAATGTAGGGTGAGGGTAGAGTGCACTGTGAGTGAATTGTGAGTGCAGGGTGCAGGGTGTGTGAATGGTGAGTGCAGGGTAAGTGAATGGAGAGTGCAGAGTGCAAGGTAAGTGAATGGAGAGTTCAGGGTGCAAGGTGAGTGCAGGGTAAGTGAATGGAGAGTGCAGGGTGCATGAAGGGATAATGCAAGGTGAGTGCAGGGTGCAGGGAGAATGCAAGGTGGGTGCAGGGTGAGTGCAATGTGAGTACAGAGAGAGTGCATGCTGCAGGGAGAGTGCAGGGTGAGTGGAGAGTGCAATGTGAGTGGAGAGTGCAGGGTGAGTGGAGAGTGAAGGGTGAGTGGAGAGTGCAGGGTGCAGGCTGAATGCAGTCTCTGGCAGTGAAGCAGTTACTTGCTGATAGGAAGAAGCAAAGACTGTTACAGGAAGCACAGAGGATGCTGAGTGCACCTGTTAGATGCTGAACCACAGGAAGTCAGCCTGAGTAAGCCATAGAACATGTTATGTGGACAGACAGATCAGAGAAACACGGGGGACCAAGGGATGATACAGAGGATAGAGAATGGGGGGAACACAGGGAGACCAGAGGATGGGGGGGGGCAGGTAGACCAGAGGATGGGGGGCAGGGAGACCAAGGGTTGGAGGGGTAGTACAGGGGATGGGTGGATATGCTTGAGATAGAGATCTTTTATAATATCCGATATAGTTTTTTCTAATAATAATAGGGAGCTCTAATAATGTAATATAATATCTAATAACAATAATATTAATATCTAATTCTCTAATCGTATCTGACAGCAATTACAGGAATCTATATTCCTTATCTCTAATAATCTGTGATATTTTTAAAGGAAACCTAATCTAATAATCTGTGATAATGATATGGATCTCTAATATGTGATAATTATAGGGATCTCTAATCTAATAATCTGTGATAATGAAAGGGATATCTAATACTCTATGAACCATGGTAGGATACTTTAATAATAATCTCTGGAATGATTGAGTGCAGTGTTTGTAGTAGGTGATATTGGGTTAAGTAGGGACTGAGCTAGGATGATCAAGTAAGAGATGCTTGACTTAGGTACATTTAATTTAATTTGTAATTGAGTTAGGAATCCCTGCTCTAGGTGCGATGGAGTTAGGAATCCCTGCTCTAGGTGCGATGGCATTAAGAATCCCTGCTCTAGGTGCGATGGCATTAGGAATCCCTGCTCTAGGTGCGACGGAGTTAGGAATCCCTGCTCTAGGTGCGACGGAGTTAGGAATCCCTGCTCTAGGTGCGACAGCGTTAGGAATCCCTGCTCTAGGTGCGACAGTGTTAGGAATCCCTGCTCTAGGTGCGATGGAGTTAGGAATCCCTGCTCTAGGTGCGACGGCATTAGGAATCCCTGCTCTAGGTGCGACAGCGTTAGGAATCCCTGCTCTAGGTGCGATGGAGTTAGGAATCCCTGCTCTAGGTGCGACGGCATTAGGAATCCCTGCTCTAGGTGCGACGGCATTAGGAATCCGTGCTCTAGGTGCGATGGAGTTAGGAATCCCTGCTCTAGGTGCGATGGCGTTAAGAATCCCTGCTCTAGGTGCGATGGCATTAGGAATCCCTGCTCTAGGTGCGACGGCGTTAGGAATCCCTGCTCTAGGTGCGATGGCGTTAGGAATCCCTGCTCTAGGTGCGATGGCGTTAGGAATCCCTGCTCTAGGTGCGACGGCGTTAGGAATCCCTGCTCTAGGTGCGACGGCGTTAGGAATCCCTGCTCTAGGTGCGATGGCGTTAGGAATCCGTGCTCTAGGTGCGATGGAGTTAGGAATCCCTGCTCTAGGTGCGATGGCGTTAAGAATCCCTGCTCTAGGTGCGACGGCATTAGGAATCCCTTCTCTAGGTGCGACAGCGTTAGGAATCCCTGCTCTAGGTGCGACAGCGTTAGGAATCCCTGCTCTAGGTGCGACGGAGTTAGGAATCCCTGCTCTAGGTGCGATGGAATGGGATTCATTCATTTAGGTGTGATTAAAGTAGGTATCATTTAAGTATTAGGAATGAATTATGATTGATGACATGTTTGATGGCCATCAGAATGTTCATTTCATAACTCTCCTGTAAAAATATTGCAACTTGGAAAACTTGAAGAGAACCTCTGGCTTTATGACCCCACTTATAAATTTAAAAAATTGTCCAAAAAGTTTTAAAAATGGATTTTGCAAAAAAAGCAAATAACATGCTTGACAAAAAAAGTCCAATTTATCTTCCCCTTCGGCGTCCACTTCCAGCGGTGAAATAGACAATAGGAATCCCATATATTACTGCACACAATAGGTTAGAACAGTTTGTAATTTCTGTAATGTAAGCTTGTACGCTTCCCATGCCACAAAACCACACAGAAAACGTGCGCACCATCAGGGCATCACAATCGTCACCTGAGCATGAATGAACCTCAAATTATAGTGAATTGATAACAGAATTGCAGAGTTGTGGCTAAAATAGGCCAAACTGAGTTGGATTTATTTGTTTTCCAACTTCTGATGTCAAACTATTTTTACTCATAACAGGTAGATACAAGAAATCAATGTGCATTCGAACAATTAGTCCCCCTCTACTGGAAAAAGGAGACACCCCCCTCCACTGACACTGTGGTTCGAAAAAATGGAAGAACTGAGACGGCTTGAAGAACTGACATTTATGGCCCACGGGCACACCAAATCTTATGTAGACATTTGGACTCATTGGTTGACGGTCGCTGATTTTCAGGCTCTGCTGATATACGGGACTGACGGCACAGTGGGGAAAGTGGTCGTGGGTCGCGAGCACTCCCCTTCCAGGAAAGTACAGAGGAGTTCTTTATATTCCAATACTCCAATTCTTAACCTGATAGGGTTAACCTAATGGTTAGGGGATTAGTCCGACAGAGGTATGGTTAAGAGTACCTTGCTACACCCTTAAAGGAATGGATTACAGGAACGTGGCACCACTTTAGGTTGTAGAAGAGTGCTTAATTTTCACAATATGCTATGTACTTGGATTGTGGACCTTAGCGTCTTTGTTTACCTTCATGTCATATGCTCACTCAGTCCTGCGTGGCAGTCTGATTCCAAATGTAATTTATGGAAAATGGTTTCACTGTGTATGCTTGTGTATCCAACAATTGTTTTCGCTTTATGCACAGTGACCAATAAATGTTTATATATTTTAACGAAGAGAAGAGAAATATGGCGTTAGAGGAGCCAGTTTAGACGTGTTAGGGTTAGCTTTGTATAGTTACAGTGGGCAATAAATGGTCCTATTCAGAATAATTACAAACAGACTGATTACCACCAGATAAAACGAAAACGTTAGCCCTGCGCTTCAAATATGGAAGGGTTATACATTGTTCTAGTCTGTTAAGACAAAATGTCCAGGCTTTAACCTTCAACCACAATCACTTTATTTTTAACAATTTAAAGCAATGGTGCTCACAGTACATAGCAAACAAATACTGGGTAGAATTTCTACCTGTTCATAGACAATGTTAGCGCCTCAGCTCAAACTAAAACCAATTTATCTTTTCCAAAACCCTCACTAACCATGCACAAACTCTCTTTATAAACCCTTTCTCTGTCCTTTTCACCTTTTTTTGTGGCCTGTCTAGCCATGACCGGTAAGCTCTCAGGCTGGCCTGCAAGGACTGGCCAGTCTGAGGATCACTCTAAGGACTACTAAGCATTTAGGTCGGCCTCTCTAAGGACTGGCATCCATCAAGCCATACCACTTCAAAAATCAGTACCCACCTACTGTTGCCACTCTAAAAATCAGTACCGTCTAGCCTTTCCATTCTAAGGATCAGTATCCACCTACCCTTGCCACTCTAAAAATCAGTACCTGCCTAGCCATGCCACTCTAAGAATGAGTACCAACCTAGCCATGCCACTTAGAATCAGTACCCACCTTGCCTTGCTACTCTAAAAATCAGTAACTGCCTAGCTTGGCCACTAAGAATCAGTATCCTCCTAGCCTTGCCACTAAGAATCAGTACCCGCTTAGCCTTGCCACTAAGAATCAGTAACCGCCTAGCCTTGCCACTAAGAATCAGTAACCGCCTAGCCTTGCCATTCTCAGAATCAGTAACCGCCTAGCCTTGCCACTAAGAATCAGTACCCACCTTGCCATGCCACTCTAAAAACCAGTAACCGCCTAGCCTTGCCACTATGAATCAGTATCCACCTAGCCTTGGCACTAAGAATCAGTATCCACCTAGCCTTGCCACTCTAAAATCAGTACACGCCCTGCCACTCTAAATACCAGTAAGCATCTAACTCTGCCACTCCAATGACTGAAATCCACTCACTGTCTTGTTTCCTGATAATTAGATAGGGCATAGCCAACAATTTTTCTTGTCTACCCTGTAAGTATCATCGACAATCAAACGCCCTCCTATTAGAACCAGTGACTCTGTCCAACGGCCCGTATTATAGTCAGATCCTCTCTGCACTGTTGGCTAATTAGCTATCACATAGCCAGACCAGCAAATAGGCCCCAGGTAGGTTACAAAGTAATAGAATACACAAAAAGCTTTAATGTGTTACATTTTGTAATACTGTAAGTTCATTACTGTACATACATAGGCTCAGTGCAAGATCCTGGGCTACCAACCATGACACTTCCTCCCTAACCACATCTCTCAACACACCAACACAATCCTACACATGATACCTACAACAACATTTCTGTACATCTTAATACTGTTAATTAAGGCACCATCAGAGGATCAGTAGGGCAGGGAGCATGAGGGGACCATCACAGGATCAGTAGGGCAGGGAGCATGAGGGGACCATCAGAGGATAAGTAGGGCAGGGAGCATGAGGGGACCATCAGAGGATCAGTAGGGCAGGGAGCATGAGGGGACCATCAGAGGATCAGTAGGGCAGGGAGCATGAGGGCACCAGAGGATCAGTAGGGCAGGGAGCATGAGGGGACCATCACAGGATCAGTAGGGCAGGGAACATGAGGGCACCAGAGGATCAGTAGGGCAGGGAGAATTAAGGCACCATCAGAGGATCAGTAGGGCAGGGAGCATGAAGGGACGATCAGAGGATCAAAATTGTAGGAAGCATGAGGGTTGCCATGAAGGGATACATAGGGCAAGGTACATGAGGGGACCATCAGGGGATTAATAAGGCATAGACCATGAGGGGATCAATAGGGCAAGAAGCATCAGGTACCATCAGGGGATCAATAGGGCAGGGACCATGAGGAGACCATCAGAGGATCAACATCGCATGGAGCATACAGGGGACCACCAGAAGATCGTTTTGGCATGGGGGGGGAGGGAAATAAAAATGTTGATATGGCATGGGAGGACCATCAGAATGTTGATATGGCATGGGGGAGATTATCAGAAGATCAGTGTGGCATGTCTCACGGGTGGGCCATCAGAGGGTCAACAGAACATGGAACATAAGGAATCCATCAGAGAATCTATACAGCAGAGAATATGAAACATGAGGACAGAGAGCATGGAGGACATGATATTATTTGGTAAGAAGCATAAGGGACAGAGAGGCCAGGTGATAGATGGGGCAGAATAGAGAGGTTATGATGTCATGATGCCGTGACATCATTCAGACAAACGTATCACTTGCAGCTTTATGGACAATACAAGCATACTAACATGGAGTGAGTGCACACTCCTACTCACATTCATTGAATAGTATACTTATACTAATATGATGTGAGAGAATACTGATATGAAGTGTCTGATACATGCTTACCAATATGCAGTGAGTGTACACTCGTACACACCACATGCTCTGTTGGAATTTATGTTACTGGAAGATACTTCTGTTAATTGAGTGTCAACCTTGCTCACAGAGTGTCAACCTTACTGAGTGGCAAACGTGTTCAGTGAGTGTCAGCTTTACTCACAGAGTGTCAACCTTGCACACAGAGTGGCAAACGTGTTCAGGGAGTGTCAAACTTGCTCACTGAGTGTCAGTCATTGATGCTTCAGTCTTACTCCAAAGTTAACCATTTCCATGGTTGACACAGTAATTCCTCCTCTGAATCGCACTACCCCAAGCTTACCTTGTAAACCTCCCCATAGCTGCCATTTCCCAGGCGCTGGAGTAGCTCATAGTCATCTTGGGGGTCCCTGCTGGAAATCTCCAATGCCAGGCGACCCTGGGCATCCATCCTCCAGCCTGTCTGTGAGCGAATGAGTGTCAGCTCAGAGTGTGAAAAATTGCTGCCTCCTCACCCCTCCCTCCCCAGTATGTGTTTATAGCTCACTCTCATTTCCTGAGAGTGAGCCACACAGCATCTATATACAATAGCATGTCAATAGTGTGAGCGAGCACTCTGTGTCTGCTCACACTAACGCACAGTAATAAACACACTATATATACACACAATACACACACACACCATGTCAATAGTATGAGTGAGCACTCTGTGTCTGGCTTACGCTAACACACACAGTAATAAACACACTATATATACACACACACACAATACACACACACACACAGCATGTCAATAGTGTGAGCGAGCACTCTGTGTCTGGCTTACACTAACGCACAGTAATAAACACACTATATATACACACACAGCATGTAAATAGTGTGAGTGAGCACTCTGTGTCTGGCTTACACTAACACACACAGTAATAAACACACTATATATACACACACAATACACACACAGCATGTCAATAGTGTGAGCGAGCACTCTGTGTCTGCTCACACTAACGCACAGTAATAAACACACTATATACACACACAATACACACACACACACAGCATGTCAATAGTATGAGTGAGCACTCTGTGTCTGGCTTACGCTAACACACACAGTAATAAACACACTATATATACACACACACACAATACACACACACACACAGCATGTAAATAGTGTGAGTGAGCACTCTGTGTCTGGCTTACGCTAACACACACAGTAATAAACACACTATATATACACACACACACAATACACACACACACACAGCATGTCAATAGTGTGAGTGAGCACTCTGTGTCTGGCTTACGCTAACACACACAGTAATAAAACACACTATATATACACACACACACAATACACACACACACACAGCATGTCAATAGTGTGAGCGAGCACTCTGTCTGGCTCACACTAACACAGTAATAAACACACTATATATACACACACAGCATGTCAATAGTGTGAGCGAGCACTCTGTGTCTGGCTTACACTAACGCACAGTAATAAACACACTATATATACACAATACACACACAGCATGTCAATTGTGTGAGTGAGCACTCTGTGTCTGGCTTACACTAACGCACAGTAATAAACACACTATATACACACAGCATGTAAATAGTGTGAACGAGCACTCTGTGTCTGCTCACACTAACGCACAGTAATAAACACACTATATATACACAATACACACACAGCATGAAAATAGTGTGAACGAGCACTCTGTGTCTGGCTTACACTAACGCACACAGTAATAAACACACTATATATACACAATACACACACAGCATGTCAATTGTGTGAGTGAGCACTCTGTGTCTGGCTTACACTAACGCACAGTAATAAACACACATATATATATATATACACACACACACACACACACACAATACACAAGATCCAGCGCACTCACCTATCCACTAAACAACAACTTCAATGTTGAAAGATTTTATTTGTTTTTTTAAAAACACCTAATCTAGGCAAAAATAATGGGGGGTTTAGTTACATTATATGATCATACATTGCATAAGCCTGCCACAACGTCAATGTACCCCATCTTTGGCAGGTCCTACACTAACAGCCTAATGTCTGCTCTTATGAGACCAACCCACTTACTTGGGGGAAAAAATTCCATCTGGGGCTCTCTGCAGTACAAGGCTAAATAGGGCCCTGGGATGAGGCACCCCCATTTATGCATGTTCAGGTGAGTGCAGCCAACCCCCCCTTGTTTCATATATATATAATATTTGGGAGTCTAGCCAACTCCTTTGTTTTGCACCCCTCCCTGTCACAGGTGCCTCATCCCAGGGCCCTATTTAGCCTTGTACTGCAGAGAGCCCCAGATGGAATTTGGAGAGTTATGTCAGCTATTACATGGCAAGTGAATTTTCCCCACGCTATTCAATGTCAGTTTGAGCATCTTGATTGATTGGCCTGTAAGCCAACCAGAGTCGGAGATTTGGGGAAAATTGGCAGATTCTCATAGTGTTGGGGTAAACAACAAC